AATGATATAATAAAACAAATATTTCATTCTACGTTCGGCATATGCGTGACAACCTAGGCAGATCCTAGTTTTGACCAAAGGAATAATATGTACGTCCAACGTGCTCCATCAAGTCCCACGGACTCCCACGAAGTCCCATTGTCCTCTATTGAGTTTACCCCAAGGAGTCCTACCACGCCCACCCCTGCAAATAATTAACATGTTCCATGAGAACCTGTGAGATAAATATCTGTCATTTTGTCGACACATTCTACTACAATGGCATCAATACAATAACGCTGGGGCTGTTCAATATGTATTGAGAAATATTGATGAAATGCTTTGGAATTTTTACTATATTTCCAGCGTATAACATCGAGATGCTGTATATACAAATGTAATTTAAATTGCCGAATTATCACTTTTAATCATCCTACACGAAAACAAGCGATGGGGATATACATGTATCACGTGCACACGGTGCGGATACACATTGTACGCTCGGTGCGGATACATCATGTGCGCACGGTGGGGAAATATCATGTACGCATGGTGGGGATATGAACTGTCATATCATACCAAACCATGGTCACTGCACATTGTCATTTTCAAAACGGGCTTTATTCAGCATCTGAAATGTGAATATAAATATACTAGGCCTAATTATGAGATGTTGGATTTCTCTCGAGTCTCAAGCTGAACAATGGTTTAAATCATATAGCTTGATTATCGCAGCGATTTAGTAAATTGTAAATGGCTTATGTTCACTGGTTCACAGCAGGGTGAACTAACTGGAGTCAGTCTCATCCAATATAGTAGGCAAATTCCATTTAGTGTTGATAAACCGATTTCAGAAGCAAGTGAAATCTGGATTCGGAATATTTTGTCATACAAATGAATAAAGTTTTGGTTCAAAACTACCATGACAACGTCAAGAAAGATTCGAACATCACTGATTTTAATTAGACTGCATGTAACTTAAATGTGATGAGACTAACTAATTTTAATATTCACTTAAACAAGAAAAGCCAGTGATTAAACCTACAGTATAATGAAAAGATTCTTCCCACAGACTGACAGAAGGATATCTTTTTTACTTTTTTTTACTTATAACAGATATGAATGTGAATTATTATTTACTTTATTTTCAGTACAGTTTTAGTGAGGCAATTGCCTCCCATATGCCTCGTAGATGCCTCATAGGTACAGTGGTACTCTGGTACAAATATGTACAATTCAATAGATTTTCTTACTTATATGGCTCCATTGATAATAATTACAACAAACGTAAATAAATTATAGAAATAAAGTTTGAAGAAAATGTGAAATACACAATAAATACTCAAAATCAATCAAATCTCTATATTATATAAATATACACATATAATCTGAAAAACACCCACATATCTTGTAACGAGTTATTCCAATTTCTTATCATTTTAGACAAATCTCTAGGGCTTTTGCTTTTTTGTTATTTACATTAATACTTAATGCCCTATTCTCTCTCTGGATTTCAAGATCCAATTTCATTAAGGCACATTGTGGTTCATGGATAACTCCCCTCCATAAGTTATATATATCTATATATACACTCCCCTCCATAAGTTTGGCAAGTGGAAATCCCCTATTGGAGCCCTTACTGCAGACTCATCATTCATGCTGATTGAAATAATTCAAGTCATACATCAAGTGTCAAGTCATACATTTTCGCTCAGATTCAAACATTTTCACTCAGATTCAAACATTTTCACTCAGATTCAAACACCTTGACAGGCTTTGGTTTGCAACCAGGTAAAAACTTCTGGTACCCAAACTGAGTGAGGGGTGTAAAAGTATACCAGTTATTCTCCTTTGAACACGTTATCTACCGTACTGTACAAAAGGCATTTCAAGCTGATTCTACTATAATTGAGAAAGGTATTACAAATATGAGAGGTTTACCATTCTTTTGGATGACTTAACAAGAGTTCTGGCTGCACATTATTGGAATTACATGTGATGTATTAAAGTTAATCTAATATGAATCAGTTTTCAACTAACATTTCAGAAATCTTGTTTCATACAATGTAACTAATCTGACTTTAATTAAGCAGTTAATAAAAGGGCCTCATTCTCCATTATGCTTTTTAAAAAAATTAATTAAAAAAACCTTTAAAGTCCCCAATATAAAGTTTAAACCACTTTGGCTTATTTATTACCCAATGTTATCAAGGTGTGATATGTGAAACTTTTTTTTTTAAATTTCAAAAAGTGGTTTTTGATGGACTTTAAAAATTCGTGAATTCATAACGAACTTTTAGAGGTCACGCATATATTTTAACAAGCCATAATTCATACTAATGCATAGCATTCATCCTCCCATGTTTTTTGCATAAAACAGTTCAACTTTTTTAGAAAAATGGCGGGAAATTTGACTCTTTGAGAAATGAAATGCTCACAACTTTTTTTCAATTTTTTTTTCAAAAATGTCTAAAATAACTTTTTAAGTCATAACAAATAGTAAATGAATAATAATAAAAATATTTTCAAACTTTACGCAGGGACTTTTACTACTTCATGTATCTGTATATCAATTCATAGACTTTTAAAAACAATATTATTTTATGTAAATAACAAAGTTTTGAAGAATTGCTTAAAAGTCAGGCAAGTTAATGCATGCACCCCTTATAGATTGCACTTCTCAAGCTGCTTAGGGAGCATCTCAAAAGTTCAATGTAGGATTACTTACTTTATTTGAACAATCAATCTGTGACCCCATTCCCCTCATAACTGTGTTTGAGAAATGTACAGTAAATTATTATCCTTTGTATGTATCTCACTGTAGAATCCTGAGTTTATACCTTTATATGTAACAAAATTTGCCCAAAATAAAATTCAGGGACCAATGTCCCCATCCTCCTTGCTGTTAAAATTCAGTTAATTTTCCAAGATTGATCTTTTGAAATGCTCCCTTACTACATATACGTAGGTGTGCATTCTTATCAAATTTTATATTTTCACAAAGGACGGTATGTTCTCTTGTATTTGAGGTCTGATAAATGGAGAATGAGCCCTTTAGGGGGTGGACCATTATATTAAAACAAAGACAGACTTAACCTCTTCATCCACTCCAATTCTTTTTAAAACTAGAGAACCAAGAATTATTATCAACTTATTAACAGAAAATATATTTTTTCACCAATCTTGTTTTAACAGTTGGTCTGTCGCAATCATCTTAATCACAAAATATTTTCAATATCCACCCCTGATTTTTCTGAAATAAATAGGGCCCTAATCCATAAGATATAAAGGTCCACCCCTGCAATGATTATTACGCATTTTATTAGGATTCATATTGGATATGAACCTTATCAGGCCCATAGTCAGAGGGGTTTCAGGGGTCCGCATGGCAAAAGTCATGCAGTTTTTCACCATTCTAAGCACTTTTCAAGTTAATGAGGCCATTTTTGGACCAAAGTTTTCAAAAGTGAACCCCCTGAAATTTTTAAAAAAGTGAACCCCCTTGGTAAATCCTGGCTATGGGCCTGCTTACATATTCATTTTACTTATATACAATAATGTATCATAGATAAATAATTGAATGTATAATTGTATATTATAATTAATTGTATTGTTAGACAATACTTGTTCACTGTTAGCGGAAATACATTGCTGCGGCAGCGCTGCTGCAGCGCTGCCGCAGCGCTGCCGCAGCAAATTGGCTCCAAATGTTGGATGCAGGTAATTGCAGCCAATCGCTGCGGCAGCATGATGCTGCGGCAGCATCATATTTGCAGCGAATTGGCTCCGACAGCGCTGCAGTTAATTGCAGCCTTCTCGGAGCTGGCTCCGACAGGGCTGCAGCAGCGATTTGGCTCCGACAGCGCTGCAGTTAATTGCAGCCTTCTCGGAGCTGGCTCCGACAGGGCTGCAGCAGCGAATTGGCTCCGACAGCGCTGCAGTTAATTGCAGCCTTCTCGGAGCTGGCTCCGACAGGGCTGCAGTATTTTCCCGCTCTTTTTAAACCAAAAGAAAAATGGCTGACAAAGAATAATTGCTCATCTTATGTCCCGGGCCAACCTAAAATGAACAATTTGCGTGAGATTTCCAAAAATTGTGGTACTTTTATGGGAGATTTTTCCAAAATCTGGTAATTTTTAAAAAAATTGGTAGTTTTCGCTGTAGATTTTTAAAAATCGGGAGTTTTTGAGGTAAATTTTAAAACAACTGAAGTTTTTACGGTAGATTTGAAATAAAACAATACTTTTTAAAAAAAAGCAGATTATCTCAAATTTTTTTCTAATAAAAGCAATAGTTTTTGTGGTAAATTCTGCAAAAAGTGGTACTTTTAAGGGAGATTTTTGACTAAATCTGTAGTTTTTGCAAGAGAATTTTGAAAAAACTTTGGACTGCTTTACCTTAATTAGTATGCTTTGCATGGCCAGATTTGAATATTCACGGGAATAACATATACTTCGAATTTGTGTGTCCCTACCCAATTTTACATATTATTTGATGTTTTGGGTTCGTATTGTAGAAAATGAATTTTGTAGACAATAATGCATAATGGGTAAGAAAAAGGTTTTAAATATAGCTAATAAATAGGTAATACTCTGATAATTCTCATCTAACACTACCTTGTTGTTACAATGTAATTTTCATTTTATAATCAGTCAATATTCTACATGAGCGTTGAATGGTAACAATACCTTATTATGAACACCTATGTATTTATTTAACATAATTCTCTCTAATTTGCATGATAATTTTTTTAGTTGTTTGTTAGCTAAGAATTAATAGAGTATTACCTATTTATTGTCAATATTTTCCCATTGATTTATTTCACTTGGGCCCTCATTGATAAAAACAATAAAATGCCCCAAAGCATCTCGAAACTGAACAAATAACTGGGGGATATAACCCAACAAAATCACAGCCATAATGGAAGAGATAGGCATCCATCATATTGGGTGAGATGTTTTCAATCCCCCTCCCCCTAAAATACCTCAGGCCAATGGTAGCCTTCTCTGCAATTGCTGCGGTTAACCGCAGCTCAAGTCCCATAGTGAAATGGCTCCGACAGTGCTGCGGTTAACTGCAGCCTTCTCGCAGCATGCTGCGGCAGCGCTGCGGCAGCCTAATTTGCATGCTGCGGCAGCGCTGCGGCAGCCTAATTTGCATGCTGCGGGAGCGCTGCGGCAGCAGGCTGCGGCAGCGCTGCGGCAGCCTAATTTGCATGATAAATTCCAATGTGCTGCCGCAGCGCTGCGGCAGCATGCTGCAGGAGCGCTGCGGCAGTAGGCTGTGGGAGTGCTGCTGCAGCAGGCTGCGGCAGCGCTGCGGCAGCAGGCTGCGGGAGCCAGTAAATTTCCGTAAGGGTTATGCTTGTTAGCTACATAACACATCAGAATTCAAAATGAATCTATCATATTCAGGCCAGGACAAAGGCAAAGAAAAAGAAAAGAGCTTTAAAATGCTTTTCATTTGAAGCTTTTAGCTCAATTTTGAAGGAAGTTGCATCAATTTTTGTAAAATTGAAATAAATCAAAATTTTGGCTTGTTTATGCCACAATCACACCCTCCTGACTGAAAACTTTTTTGCGATCACGCCCCTCCCTGACTGAAAGCTGGCCACGCCCCCTGCAGGGTTTCCATAAAATATCTTTACAAGGGTTAGAGATTTTATGTTGTAATTGAAGAGACACTACTGACATCATGTAGGCTATAACTGGATTTTACTATACCCCTTGCATTCATGGACAGCATTAATGCTAGTTTAGAACTAGGGTCTGCTCAGTGTATAATATTGTTAATACATATTTTGTTATATTCAGTCAAATTAAATTCATAACAGTTTGTTACTTAGTAATGTTTTTGGCAAAATGATTTTTCACTGTTTTGGTGCTACTAAGTATTTATGTGGCATTTCACCAAAATTTGGGGATATTAGCACCTATCTATTTGGCAAATTTTTAAGATAAGTTATCTGTTTGAACATTGGTGAATACTGGCGCCAAATGAAAGTAATTTACAGATCCTTTGCATTTTGTACATGCATGTCATATACCCTAAAACCATTGGTTTTCCATATTACTTGAACTTTGTTTGATGCACTCCCAATTTTATCTTGGGAATAAATTTTGTTAAAATACATTTTTCTCGTATTCCCAAGTTCAGAATGTGGTCCCAGGTCCTGTAGTTATGGTCCTAGGTAATGTTTTTTTCAAATTACCGTGACAGTTTACGTCTTCAACATATCACTGTGGTAGGTGAATCTGTTGTCTCTGGTTCCACTCTTAGATGACATTTTTAGATGAATGAAACCCTTGTAGGCCAAGTCAGGCAAATCCTTAGGATTTACTCCATCCTACCACCCCTTAACAACCAGAAGAGTCCATTAACTCTAAAGACAAATCCATCGCAGCAAGTCAAAGGAAGAGTCCATCATTTCTCAAGTAAGGGGATTTCAACATAATGTTATATTCTTGTATGCCCTTATATGGCTAGATCTCATGTTTCATAATCTTTATATGGTCACATTCTGTTTGTTGTTGACGCTCTGGATAAGTCTTTGTCTCTCTCGGTTCATACTAATGAGAAAATCCTCCTGTTGGTGATATTGGTAGAGTCTTATCAGAGATAACACACTTAATGTTACCCAGCACAGCCATGATGTCCAGGCGCCAAACTTAAAAGAAAAGAACACAATTTAACAAACTGATAATGCTGCATATCTTTAGCAACTATATTATTTGGAATAATTCTAAAATTAAAATAAATCAATTTGTCAAAGCATAACCAATTAGGTATAAAAGATAGAATTTGTGCTTTCCCTTAAAACCAAGCTCCAAATGTTCTTCAAAAGGTCATGCAAACATATTCAGTTTGGACCATGAATAAATGAGTAGTTGACTGAAAGACACCTACCTGTGACCTACCACCCTCTATATAGTTGCTTAAAGGTTGAGTCCCTTTAAGAGTGAAAGACACCTATCTGACATACCATACTCGTTATAGTTGCTTAAAGGTTGAGTCCCTTTAAGAGCGAAGGACACCTATCTGACATACCATACTAGATATAGTTGCTTAAAGGCTGAGTCCCTTTAAAATTGAAAGACACCTACCTGTGCCATACCATGCTCTATATAGCTGCTTTAAGGTTGAGTGCCTCAAGAGTGAAAGACACCTACCTGTACCATACCATACTCTATATAGTTGCTTAAAGGCTGAGTCCCTTTAAAATTGAAAGACACCTACCTGTGCCATACCATGCTCTATATAGCTGCTTAAAGGTTGAGTGCCTTTAAGAGTGAAAGACACCTACCTATGCCATACCATAATCTATATAGTTGCTAAAAGGTTGGGTCCCTCAAGAGTGAAAGACACCTACCTGTACCATACCATACTCTATATAGTTGCTTAAAGGCTGAGTCCCTTTAAAATTGAAAGACACCTACCTGTGCCATACCATGCTCTATATAGCTGCTTAAAGGTTGAGTGCCTTTAAGAGTGAAAGACACCTACCTGTACCATACCATACTCTAAATAGTTGCTTAAAGGTTGAGTCCCTTTAAGAGTGAAAGACAACTATCTGTGCCCTACCATGCTCTATATAGTTGCTTAAAGGTTGAGTCCCTTTAAGAGCGAAGGACACCTACCTGTGCCATACCATACTCTATATAGTTGCTTAAAGGTTGAGTCCCTTTAAAAGTGAAAGACACCTACCTGTACCATACCATACTCTATATAGTTGCTTAAAGGCTGAGTCCCTTTAAAAGTGAAAGACACCTACCTGTGACCAACCATACTCTATAAAGTTGCTTAAAAGCTGAGTCCCTTTAAGAGTGAAATTACAGGATTTCTAGAGCTCGAAAATCCATTAACGCATACGTTGGGACGACAACAAGCTGCACAGACCCCACAAACCCACTCACTGCGTCCAAATTATATTGGGCTGTAAGCGTCCCCTCGATGACTTTTGGCATGGAACTGGTCCACCTTAATGACACTGAATATGAGGTCTTGGAACAGGGACACCGCAATATTGCGAAAAAATTACAGGGTCTCCCAGTGAGCACACCGAATGTTGCAATTCTACCACAACTTGGCTGGCATAGCATTACAACAACTATTATTATCATGAAGATGATGTTTCTTCTACAGGTGTTATCCATGACCCTTGGATCTGTTTACAGAAGCATCGCTATTAAACGTATGGTTGCATTCAGAGTCGGATTTAGACCGCTGAATAGTCTTTCTCCGATAAATGACATTATGAACCTAGCCGAACGGTATGGGATTACAAACTGCATATATGACATGTTGGACTCTATAGAAATGCCTTCTAAGACATTATGGAAACGCATAGTAAGCACAAAAATCCGAGATTATGACCTTAACAGATGGAAGAGAGAAGTGACCACGTATCAAAAGTTAAAACTGTACAGAGGAATAGTGCAGGATGTAAAACCTATTATATGGTGGTTGGTTGCTAGACAAGATCCAAGATACTTGAGAAGATGTGCGCTGATGGTTCGTCTTTTAACGGGACAGGGAAATTTGAGAGTAAATACTGGTGAATGGGAAGGGATCCCTTTTCAAGAGAGGCTATGCCCGCTCTGTGGAGATGAAGTCGAAACAGTAGAACACTTTACTTTATTTTGTTCAAATAATGCTGTTAACAGGAAACGCATCGAGGCCATAGTAAACACTTACTTGTGCCATATCATACTCTATATAGTTGCTTAAAGGTTGAGTCCCTTTAAGAGTGAAGGGCACCTACCTGTACCATACCGTACTCTATATACATGTAGTTGCTTAAAGGCTGAGTCCCTTTAAGAGTGAAAGTCACCTACCTGTGCCATACCATACTCTGTTTAGTTGTTTAAAGGCTGAGTCCCTTTAAGAGTGAAAGACACCTACCTGTGCCATACCATACTCTATATAGAATCCATGTGTGTTCACATCTGCCTCTGCCTCAAAATCTATGTCCCCGGCTGCATCACATCTGAAAATCAAGTATGAAAGCCTAATCAGTAGGAAAGCCTAAAAACTGGCAAGAGGGTAATCCTGGGAGGGTAATTTTGTGATTTTGAAATTGACAAGAGCCCTGTTTTAATTCTATTTAGAAACAAGGTTCTTAAAAATGTTGAAAGATAATTTTGCTAAGGGGCTACACACTAAGTAGTCTTTGTCCTATGTATGTAAGGAAATTATTATTTTTAGGGAGAGGCTGTTAAACATTATCAAAATTAACTTAATTTGCCATAGTTTTGTTATAAGAACAAATCAGTTACTTACCTTAATTGATTTTGCATAAGCAGTGAACACCAAACATTGAATCCAATGGTTAACACGAGTCCCGCAGCAAACATAAGTATGGACATCAACATGCTCAGAGACATGCACAAGAATGATGCAAGCCATGAGCTGGAAAAAGTGAAGTCACATAATGAATTGCAGATTTGAAGAACCTGAACAGCTGGAACACCCTGCAGCATTTACCAGTGGGAAAGATCCAATAAACATATCAGAGGTTCCTAATTGTGTAAAATATATTTAGGCAGTTGTGCATTTGGATTGCACTGGTAGGCCCTCTTCATGGCTTTAGGACCTTCGTCTAGTGCCTAGGTGCATAGGCACACCTGAAGAATCTTTATTATAAGTGTAAAACCTACCTAATTGGAACACCTATGGTACCTCTAAAAAGTGTTCCATTTGGGAGGTGTTCAACTTATAGAGGTTCATCTAACATTAAGTCAGTTTGTCTTGGGACTGTGTTGTTACATGAGTAGAGGTTGTCCAATTCTAGAGATGTTCCATTTTACAGGTTTCACTGTAAGCTTACATGTAATACATCTGATACAGAAGGGGACAAACTCCAACTTATCAGAGTCGGGCACCCCCCATCTACATGTACCTTGTAATTAACAAAAGAGTCGACCCCCTCCCACGCATGTCAGTGTAGCAAAGCATAGGGAGTAAGTGAGAGAGAGCGCATGCGCAAAGTGTAAGACGGAAAAATTGAGCTCCGAAAAATAACTTTATTTTTGTGTATTTACAGCTAGTCTGAACATTCTACATAACTACACAGACCGCCTATAACTCGCTGGAGGTGCCAAGAATCCAACGCGACCCTTCAACGGACGAAAACCACCGGGAAAGTTGGAATACGTGACCAACAAGATCCACCTCGTGTCCGCCATTGCAGCCATTTTGCCCGGGAAATTTCCATTGGAAATTCGTTTGTCACGGGAACCTGAGGACCCAGTGTGTGCCCAGCTTTGTGTGCCCAGCTGTTTCTTATAATCTTAGCTGGAGGTATAGATCCTCCGGATCTTTAATATATATTTTTATCTTTTTTGACCAATACAAATATTTCTTAAAAAACCTAGTGACTGTCTAGTAAAAAGCAGGTTTTGATATTTTTATCTGTAAGTTATACAGTAGCCTACTCAATAATCATTCCACGCTACAGCTAACTTTGATACTATTTACCTAAGAAGTATAATTCAAGCAACTTTATTGCATTTCTGGGGCGTCGCCCGCCACTGCATGGTCACCTCTCTGGTGCCATTTTGTTTTCGTTTTTGATAAGTCTATGCGACATTGTTTCAGCTAAATTAGACGAGTGGTGTACAGCATTTAGGAGCTAATGATTTCCTAGATAAAGTAAGAATTTTTTCCTATGAGTTAGCTGTGTACCACCTGCTTTTAGTGTAGTTAGTGCTTTACCTGCTTTCCCTGCTTTGCGTGCTGCACTGTGTGTATTTTACTGCAACATTGCTAGAGTAGGACTAATTATCCAGTAGGGCAAGGTTCGTAGTGTATCTAGTAACTAATAAGGATATACCATTGTATGATTTGTTGTGGCCGATTTAGATTGGCACATTTTAGTTATTTTTATATGTGTTAGGATTGAAAAGTCTATTTTTACAGAGTCTATTTTTACAAAGCTTTCTTTTTTATATAAACCTTTTTATAAATATATATATATACACATAGAGTATTTTTATCTTTGCCAAATAACCAACTCACTTGGTAACTGTACAGGTACATGTTAAACCAGCTTCCAGACAGCTTGGAATGCCTGTAAAATCTAAGTCAAAAGCTAAAAAGGCTACCATTCTCAAATCAAAGGAAAAGGACTCCTGTCCATGTAATAAAGATTTAGATAGTATATTTCTGAACTGCTCAAATTGTGAGCAATGGTGGCATTCTAACTGTCTGGGTCTAGGTAATAGCGAGGAAGACTGCCCGTTACTCAAATTATATGCGCAAGAAGAGACTGTCTTCAACTGCCCTTACTGCATACTCAACAGCATCAATGCTGATATAAAGCTTAAGCCTCAGAACACGGTCTCTCCTTCGGATAAGCGAAACAAACTGGCTAATAATTTGAGTCCACCTAAGATTTCTCAAGCTAAACATAGTAGCAAGAGTGCTATAAATAGCACTGTGAGTCAAAATCTACCAAAGAACATTTTAATCATCGACAACTTGAAAAACCCAGGCCTATTCAAGGATAGTGATAAAATCAAAAAAGAAATTTTCAAACATAAATCCCAAGTTAAAATAACCCACACTTATCAGCTTTGCAGAGGAGGAATTGCAATTCACTACGCTGACCCAGAACAAAAGGAACTCCTCAGCAGGGACTGGCCTGAATCAGCGTTTGGAGGAAGTGGCAAACAACTTGATATACACGACACTACCCCCGCCTCCCGTTGTATCATAAGGAACGTCCCTACAAGTATAAATCCAGAAGAACTGAAACAAGTAGTTGAGCAACAATCAGGTATAAGTGTATCTATAAGAAGATTCAAATACAGGGATACTGGTAAGGGCATGCCTATAGTGGCTGCCACATGTAGTAATCATACTGATCTGTCTATCTTATTCAAAACAAAATTAACTATTGGTAATAAAATTTTGTTAGTGGAAGCAATCAACACAGCCAAGCACAAAGTAACCCGGTGCTTCCGTTGCCAATTTTACGGGCACGTGGCGAAGGCTTGCACTAACAAAGCTAAGTGCGAAAACTGTGGTGGTGCACATAAGAATAAGTGTACCAATTCAACTAAGTGTAACAACTGTGGAGAAAACCACAAAGCTAGCTCCAATAAGTGCATTTATTATATTGATTTAAAGCTCAAAAGGAGCACTAATGTATAGTAACTCCATAACTATAGTGGCTGCTACTCTCTTACTTTCTCTGCTAGTGACAATGAAAATATTCCAAGCTAACATACGTTCTATCAACACCTCGGCTAAATACATCAAACATATCTCTCCTGAAGCATCTATATTTTGCATTACAGAAATCTGGCACCCTACAGCTGAATCAATCCAAAGAGCCGGTCTAAAAGACTGGACTTGGATTTCCTCTATCAGACAAGGCAGGGAGGGGGGCGGGGCAGCCATTATAGCATCATCAGACACAAAGGTGGTAAAAAGAAATGATCTCATGAGAAATGACATAGAGGCAGCTTGGGCAAATGTCTATTGTAAAGACCTCGCTTTTCTTCTATGTTCAGTTTATATACCCCCAGGAAACATTGAATCATGGGATAAATTTTCTAGAGTGGCAACCTCTGCTTTACATAGCAAGCTTCCAGTACTTTTTACAGGGGATTTTAATGGGAGACATCCCTTATGGAATGACTGTTCTATTAACAAATTGGGAAGCACTATTGCAGAGTTTGCCATGATCCATGACTTACACATTTTCAACAACCATCAGTTCACTAGAAATGAAACTATCATCGATTTAACCATCGGCTCCGGCTCACTGACATCCAAGATCTCGGAGTGGGCGGTGCGGGATGAGATCTATTTGAAATCAGATCACAAACTTATCTCATTCAGCGTCGGCCAGGCCGGGAAGGAGGAAGTCAGGGAATATTATGATTTGAAAAATGCAAATTGGGAAAAATTTGTTTCTGAAATGGAAAAACTTTGTCTTAACTGGCAACAAAACGTTATTGCTGCCAATGTTGAAGAAGCTTACACCTCCCTATGCTCGATAATGCTCAAAGTCATAAACGACATCATACCTAAGAAAAAAATTTGTTCCAAGAGCAAAGGGTGGTGGAACGACAATTTAAATCAACAAGTTAAAGCTCTGAGAAGGGCAAAACGCCGTTATAACAAGCGCAGTGACCCTCATAATTGGGAAACCTATACCAGGCTCGCAGAAGAGTTCGCAGAGAGTGCACATAAAGCTGAATCTAGCTATTGGGATGATCTCTTCGAAGAGCTTGATCTGGGTAACCCAAATATGATATGGAAAACTGTAATGAAAACTCAAACCAAAAAGGGTAAGAAAATAGTCCAACCAATTATAGATGGAAATGGTAACATTCATCATACCGATGAGGACATTGCAGAAACTATGGTTAAGCAATATGGCAAGCAACATCTGCCAGTACAGCGGTATGATGAATGGTACAACTTTGTTGTGAGAAAGGCCAAAGAATCTGTCCAACTTGAAAAAATCAAAATTAAAAACACTAATTACAATCAGACTTGCGAACCTTTTAACAAGGACATAGAATTTGATGAAATAATAGCAGCTATTGAGAAAACACCAGCTAAAACTGCTCCTAGTCCTAGGGAAAAAATTTTGAGTATTTTTATCAAAAAAGGGGGGATCACACTACATAAATCAATTTGGCTTCTCTCACAGAAATGCTGGGCGGAAGGTCAGCTTCCCCAGGAATTTAGAATTGATCCAAAGATTATGTTAGGTAAACCTAACAAAAATAACTATAATTCAGACAGATCCTATCGCCCTATAACACTTGAAGCTCAAGTTGGGAAAATCCTACAAAGGGTAGTTAGCCCAAGGTTATCATGGATAAGCGAGACTACATCCTCTTACTGTGCCTTCCAGGATGCTTACAGGGAACATAGATCCTGTTCACAGACTGTGATTAGATTGGTGCAGTCCATCCAGGAGGCGTGGAATAGAGGAGAATATGTCATCGCAGCAGTATTAGATTACGAGAGCTGTTTTGAACGGGTGTTTAGGGAGGGGCTCATCTACAAACTAGCCCAGAAGGGAATCAATGGACGCCTGTTAGTGTACATCAGTGAATACTTAACTAATAGGCAATTCTCTATATCTGTCAACAACCACACTACTCCCCTACTGCCATCAGTGGTGGGCATCCCTCAGGGGTCCGTGTTGTCTCCGCTTCTCTGTAATCTCTACACGGCAGACTCCATGGACAACATAGGGTCGGAGAAGGCTGGCTTTGCAGATGACAACACAATATGGGCATGTGGAGCTGACTTGAAAGAGATAGAGAAACTCATCAACACGGACTTGAATCAATTAACCAACAAATGGTGCAAAAGATGGAACATGGAGATCGCCCCTGAAAAAACCGAGGTAATGGTCTTCAGTCCACCTGGTATCACTAGCCCCGATATTAATATCTTTATCGACGGCCGGAAACTCCAGGTGGTGTCCCACAAGAAGATTCTTGGATGCACCATAGATAACGAACTTAAATTTAATCTACATATCGAAAATAAGAAAAAATCTGCATTCGGTGCTCTTGCGGGCATAAACAATTTCACTTCCAGCAAATCGGGCTGTAGCCAAGAGGTATTCACCATGCTGTACAAAGCGTTGGTAATACCGCACTTCGAAACCAGCATTAGTGCTCTGGCTGCAGTTACCGAGAAAGCTGTTTCTGCCTATGCACCAGTCCAGAGGGCAGCACTACTTAGAGCAACCGGATGCCTCAACTCAACTAGCACTGACTCATTAGAAGTACTGGCTGGTGTACTACCGCTTGATATTTTACTAAGAAGCAGGCAGGCTCAAGAGGGTGTGAGAATAGCTACCCACACTGAGTCAGACCCCATTGCCAGGGAATTTTTGAGATGGGGTGGGTCATCTCAAACTGAGAAGACCCCCTCCTGCTTTAATATCATAACAGCCAGACTGAGACTTCATAGATGCCCCACACAACCTAACAATTATATACAGCACTATTACCATCACCAGGATGTAGACATCTTCCAACCTACGAAGGCAACCATCCATGACGAAGATTTTGCCAACACTAAGTCCGCCCAAAGTGTTCGAATAAGCTCAGTGCTTAGTGAACAGCCGGACGGTAGGACTATAGTCTTCACAGACGGGTCAGCCTATGGGAATCCGGGTCCTTCGGGAGCTGCTGCAGTGGTTTATGTGGGTGGACTTAAATCTACACCTATATGTCTTGAGCAACCAGTCTCCCTCATAGGTAACAACTATTATGGGGAAGTGGTAGCAATAAAGATGGCGGTAGAATATCTGACAACCATAAAGACTAGCAGCAACATCCTGCTCTTGTCAGACTGCCAACCCGCTATAACAGCATCTTTTATTACTACCAAGTGTAAAAGCATCACAGAGGACATTATTGACACAAGGAAAGCCTGCAAACTGCTATCTTTACAGAACAAAACCTTAGAAGTCTACTGGGTCCCAGGTCACCAAGGGACAGAAGGGAATGAAGTTGCGGATAAAACTGCCAAGAAAGCAGCATTGGCAGCCAAATCTCTCACTGACTGTAAAACATCTAAGTCTGTAGCTTATAATAATATCAAATGTAACGCTTTAGAGAAATGGCAAAATAGGTATAACAACTCCACCAAGGTGAACTTTGTTCAGGAATTAATTCCTAAGGTTAAATTGAAAAGTCCAATTGTAAAGACAGGAACTAGGTATTATAGAAATATATGTAACCAAATTATTTCTGGGCACACCCGTTTACATGGCCATCACCATAGAATTTACCCCGATATTTTATCTCCCAACTGTGACCACTGTAACATACCAGAGACAGTTGAACATTACATCTTTGCTTGCTCTAAGTTCCAGGAAGAGAGGGAGATTCTATTGGCCAAAGTGCAACAGATACTACTAGGAGCTAAATACAATCCAGCTCTAGACCTACAAACAATCACAGGACTCAACACAAGCCTGGACCATAAGTTAAATAAAGAAATTATGAAATGCCTGCAGGCATTTATACAGAAATCCAAGAGATTTTAATAACTTATTTTTAACTCGAGTGAGATAGTGACTCTATTTTAACATCTCATTTTAATGGAAAAACACTTGCATTTTAGACTACGTTAGATAACAAGTTTTAGCGCTCTCTCTCCCAACAGAAGTAAAATAAGCACAAGTGAAAAGTACAAGTGATATTTTTAGTACATGAGTTTTAAAAATAGCAACAAGTGATCAAAGGCAGCATAATAATGCCAAAGTGTTCCCGGAACACCTTATAAGGAACACTGAAAAGGACTAAGAAGAAGAAGGAGTAAGTCACCCCTCCCTCCTTTTATAGCCTTATCAGAGGGGGGGGGGTACTCTATATGCATATTCAGTGTTATATTTGAAATAGAGACACACATAATCTCAGGTGTTAGCAATAAAGAAAGAACTCAAATTCTTCATAAAAAGATCAACACCATGAGTCATGTGACTTGGAAAATCATGTGACTGTAATGGAAAAACAAATCAATTCCTCTGTATTTACCTTTCTCTTTCTCTATACAGCCATATTGACACCCATATGAGATAAAAGAGTGAAATAGGAGCGCTTATTATGCCTACGAATATTGGATAGGTACATGAACTAGAATCTCCCCATTTCATAGCAGTCAACTTCAGATCACCTCCATGGGTTTTGTTTGGTGCCCATTTTCCATCCGCATACAGCAAACAATGTCCATTAAATGCCCCTAAATTCGATGCAACAGGTAGCCATATAAACCAACAGAATATAAAAGCTAGTAAATAAAGTGTTACTTGGGTCAATTGGAGTATATTTCCAATACCCATGTTGAAAATGTTTCTAAATTTTTCACTTCCTTGTTTTGATCAGCAGATGTAGGCTGTGCACAAACTTAAGTGTGAATAAATAGAAATTCAAAGTGATTATCATTTTAAATATAATATTTATCGACAAAAATATTAATGCGTTGATATTATTCATATATGAATTTGATGGGTGATTTTAAAAAGAATAGTTAACATAGTTACTCAAAGGAAATTTTATTTTTAAAATTGGTGTTTGTTTGCAAATTAACTCACGCATGCGCAAAGCAGCGTTCATTTTTACCACGAGTCTCTTTCAAATATTTCTCTCATATTTCTCTAAAATTATGCATGGTACCGTTATTTTCTAACTTAACGAAGATAGCAGATAGCAGAGTGATCCTCAACACCTGTTTTAGTTGTTATTATTTAGCGCAATGGCTGGGGTAGGGGCAGGTGATATGGTTGAAGATGTTGAAAAATTGCAGAAAAAATCAACAGCAGTTCGAGGAACTGGAAGAGCTAAGAGGGGTGGTATGGGAAGGGGGAAATCTGCACAAGATTTGAAGAAAGCCCTTGGACAGATTGCTGACTATTCCGAAGAAGGTGACGTTAGCATTGAACCAGGTATGCATTCCATGGGGTTTAGTTCAACGTCGTTAAACTCAATAACGGCGTTCTTTATTATTAGGAATTTTCTTGGGGCCATTATTGAGTTTAACCTCCATGCTATTCTTTCCTTTGATGCAAGTTGTGGATCTATCGAAACCACTTTTCCTCGCTTATATGACACTGATACTTAACAATAATATAAAACCACATTTCATCAGGCGATTTCACATAATATTATTGTGTTAAATGTTCATTTTTAATCGTAAAATGAGTCTTATTCTTACCAATTTATGAGACGAATATTTCAACCGGCAATGTCTGTCTGTGCGTCGCCAAAGTAAACTTGGTCAGCGAAACGAAATTGTTCTTCAATATTGATATTTATTATAACCATCCAGTATGACACGAATCTTTGCTTTATTCAAACAGCGCGTGTATTCACCCAAGTTTACTCTATTGTTATTTATAAAAACTTTAAAAAGCAATACTTGCAACATTATTGATGCATTTGATTACTGGTAATTTCAGCTCAAAGAAATATAGATGTCATTGATTGTGCTAGATTGAGATTGTGTTGAATAATTGTGCCTAAATATTAAATTATGGTAATTGTTCATGGTTTTCTGCTTGCAAAAACGTACCTAGGAATACACTCAATTGTTTATAACTGGGATCATGTATTTTACTCAGCATACATGCTTTGTAACAATTGTTACATTTTAATAACTTCAATGTGGTGATGTATTGTGATAAGATTACATGTACAGTGATCTCCCCATGTCACTTTTACCGGGGGCTCCCCCTACTCCCCCAGTTGGCACCCAGTTGGCATCTGCACTTCAACTTCTGATTTAAAGAATGAGTGAAGTAAGCACCTACACTGAGATATTGTGAGCGTAGCGAGTGCTGATTTTTTTAGACTTGAAATCTTGCACCCAGTTGAAAAATTTTTTTGGGGAGAACACTGATGTATAAGCATGGTTGTTTTATTCCTAGCTCTTAAATGTATGATGTTCTTAATAAAATTAAACAGAAGTTTTGTTTATGCTATTTTATAAAACATATTTTTCTACAATGATATTTCATTTACTCAATGAGAGAAAAGTTAAACACATGTGTTTTATCACGATATTGGAGCAAGTAAATGTACTTTTAACCTATACTTCACACCTGATTTATCTCGATACCTCCGAATCTGATTTTTTTCAAATCAACACTTTTCAGCTTTTTTCGATCTCATTACTCTAATGTTAAAAAACCTTACTTGATCGTCATTAAACATTCAGTCAAAATGATGTCATACTATCTAGTATTTGAAATGTACATGTAAAAGTACATCAAGAAATATTGGTTCAAATATTGTTGATCAATTTTGAAAAATTTTTGTTTTGGAAAATGTAAATGCTACTACGGGGAGATTCAACATATAAAGTCACAAAAAGTGAAATATGTTTTCTTGTATTGGACAGATAATATTTTCTTTTACATTATTTTAATTTGCATATAACTATGTCATGCTATGTGACCTGAATGAGCCACCTGGGGCCGTGAATTCGTACGATCCGCGATCCGATCTGGATAAATTTCGTCATGGTAATGATGCATTGTGGGATTAATCCAAAAATTTATCCAAAAATCGGTGAATTCGTACGATCCTGGGATTAATCTCAGGATAAATCTCAATCCACCTCTTGAGGTGGATTTCTTTTTGGATAAATTTTATCCGAATTCCAATGCAAATTGGATAAATCTTGGGGATTCCCCCTCATAATCATCGGATCGTACGAATTCACCAAATATTTATCGGATTAGTAATCCAAGATTTATCCTAGAAGATAAAATTTATCCGGATCGGATCGCGGATCGTACGAATTCACGGCCCCTGGTGGTGAAACTGGTAACTACCTACTCGCATCTGAGTTATTACAATGGGAAATCACTGACTTTCTGGGAGAGAAAACTTTGGCACAATATATATTTAAACATGTTAAGAAAAATATCTAATTATTCAGTATCACATGCTTGCGTCTGTCCAAAGATGTTGAAAGCTTTAGCATTTTAGCCGGAAATTTACCATAATTCTGAAAATAAAACAGGAAAAAAAGTAGGAAACTTAATCATGTTTATCGCAAGCCTCCTACAGTATTACAATATTTTGTACTTATATATAGGATAACCGGGGTTCGTTTCGTTTTATGAACTTGTTTCGTTCAGTGTTGCTAACGGCGGTTTATTCCTGAAAGGATTTGCCATTTCGATGTTACCGGAACCAGAACAGAGTTTTCTAAACTAAGAAAAAGCCTTCTCCCAACATTTTCATAATTATACATCGATGAGGTTACAGGGGGGTATGTGATGATTTGTATTTATTCATAAGGTATGTATGCATGCGTTGATCACATTTTTTTCTGTAACGATACCATCTTATTACGGTTTAATTAGTTCCGCATGTCGAAACCTGCTGAACGATTAAATGATCGCATCAAGGGCAAAATCATCATGGAAGTTAGACCTAGCCGGGGCCATAAGACATGTCAGATAAGAAACGAGGCCCAGGCTAGGTCTAATGTTGTTGGACTACATGGGGTTCTAATTAGGGACGTCACGGTTTCCCGATATTTTACCATATTTTTCAGTCAAGATAGTTCACTTCAGGACTCCTTACCTTGTACCTTGATTTAACTTCTTGGCAAAAAAAGTGTTCATAGCAGACCCGCAATTTCAGGTTGATGGTAATGTCTGTAGTGTTTGTAAATTTCCTACATTTCCGTAAATTGTTTTAAATTATAGTACTGGAATATATTAATTGGAGATTTAATTCGCGAATTTTGCAAAAACACAATTTCGCGGCTATTAAGGTGACTGTTAACTTAAGGTGCTATGGAACTTAAGGTGCTATGGAACTTAACAGGAAATGACAAAACAGGAAGTGACAATTTTTTTTGCATTTTTAGATATTTTTTGAATAAAGATAACGGTCGCGAGTAAATCTCAGGCACGACATGGAAATCTGAAATTATAGAGGGCGCATTTTCATTTTACACACGGCGAAATGAAACAAAGATTTCCCAGGAAATTTTGGACAATACTAGTATATTAATAGTCTATTGTGCATTGTACAACCACATTTGATCAGCACGATCACAAATCACATAGGGACCAATTAATATGATCTAAAACAATCAACCACGTACTGACCGAGCTTAGTAAAGAAAAAATATCAAGGATCAAGGTAAATCACTTATGATCAGGAACAATCACCTAAACCAGGGACAATCAACTAAGATTAGAACAATTGAGTACAATCACAGTATCAAAACAAAATATTAAGAATCACAACCAAACAATTGCCCAGAAGAGTCAAGAAAAATTTAAAGTAATAAAAACAATCACTTAAGATTAAGAACAATCACCTGTAAAATTGTTTAGGATCGACCCAATCCCTAAGACAGATACCAAAGATCAAGATCATGAGGATATTTCTAAGGATCAAAAACAATCACCTAGGATCAAGATTAATCACTTAGAGTTATTAACACCAAGGGCTCAGAAGAAATTTTTTGATCGGGAAAAATCACTTAGTGTGCTGTTAATGGGTTCAATAATGTAACTTAAAAGTCCAATATAAGATGAGATGTATAATGCATTTTTATTTGAGACATAAATACTATAACTTGACAGACATCTAGCAGCCCCTCGGCTATTGGCTTAAACACATCACGTGGTACAAAAGTAGGTCGAATTTGTGTAGTCCCGCCATATTTAGATGTAGACTTCCGGTACAAGTGCACTTGGATTTGCGCCCTCTATAATTTCAGATTTCCATGTCGTGCCTGAGATTTACTCGCGACCTAAAGATAACAGAGTTCTGGTTTGACCTCCAGTCAATTTAACTATTTCCACATATCATTTACATGACCAGGATCATAATGTGCATGATCAGAATGACCCTAAACATGATGAAATAACCTTTTTAGCCCTTTGAAAGTGTGACTGAAAAAAAGCTAAAAGTAGGAGCGTAGGGAAGGTCACTGAACAGAATCTTTTGAATTTTTCAGAAAATGTGCCCAATATATTGCTCTAAATGATACAATCTTTGAAAATTTGATATCATTCATAGAAAAAGAAAAAAAATGAAAAAACTGATTTGAAAAGCGATCTATTTTCCTTTTTATGACTGCCATTTTTGTTTAAGACAATTTTCTAAAATTTCAAAGATTGTACTAGTTAGAGCATTATATTGGGCACTTTTTCTGAAAAATTCAAAAGATTCTGTTCAGTGACTATCCCTACGCTCCTACTTTTAGCTTTTTTTCAGTCACACTTTCAAAGGGCTAAAAAGGTTATTTCATCATGTTTAGGGTCATTCTGACCATGCACATTGTGATCCTGGTCATGTAAATGATATGTGGAAATAGTTAAATTGACTGGAGGTCAAACCAGAACTCTGTTATTTTTATTCAAAAAATATCTAAAAATGCAAAAAAAATTGTCACTTCCTGTTTTGTCATTTCCTGTTAACTTCCATAGCTCCTTAACAGGAAATGACAAAACAGGAAGTGACAATTTTTTTTGCATTTTTAGATATTTTTTGAATAAAGATAACAGAGTTCTGGTTTGACCTCCAGTCAATTTAACTATTTCCACATATCATTTACATGACCAGGATTACAACGTGCATGGTCAGAATGACCCTAAACATGATGAAATAACCTTTTTAGCCCTTTGAAAGTGTGACTGAAAAAAAGCTAATAGTAGGAGCGTAGGGATAGTCACTGAACAGAATCTTTTGAATTTTTCAGAAAATGTGCCCAATATATTGCTCTAAATGATACAATCTTTGAAAATTTGATATCATTCATAGAAAAAGAAAAAAAAATGAAAAAACTGATTTGAAAAGCGATCTATTTTCCTTTTTATGACCGCCATTTTTGTTTAAGACAATTTTCTAAAATTTCAAAGATTGTACTAGTTAGAGCATTATATTGGGCACATTTTCTGAAAAATTCAAAAGATTCTGTTCAGTGACTATCCCTACGCTCCTACTTTTAGCTTTTTTTCAGTCACACTTTCAAAGGGCTAAAAAGGTTATTTCATCATGTTTAGGGTCATTCTGACCATGCACATTGTGATCCTGGTCATGTAAATGATATGTGGAAATAGTTAAATTGACTGAAGGTCAAACCAGAACTCTGTTATCTTTATTCAAAAAATATCTAAAAATGCAAAAAAAATTGTCACTTCCTGTTTTGTCATTTCCTGTTAACTTCCATAGCACCTTAAGGTGACTGTTAACTTAATCGATTTTCAGAAAAAATTGAAAATTTCACAATCTTGAAATTTTCAAACTCTTCCTGAGAAGTCGTTTTTATTATTTCACATATGCTTGTGCACTGTAATCATTACAAAGACATCAAAGAACAACAAAAAACTTTAGTTTGAGAAAAAAAGTGCCGTTAAGGTTCAGCTGGAAAGTAACATTTTGGTAAAAAATTGCTATACCTGCACATGTTATTTTCTGGTACAAAATTAAGTATGAAGGCATGTGTGTATTTCCTTGCTTTTTTCAGGAAAGTATCATTACACTGTCTCAGAGGTGGCGTTAACACAATTTTTTACGTTTTTTACTCACATTTTTGCAACTCTGACGCAAATATTCATTGTCTACCGAGTCTTTCTGACGCACGTTTGTTTCACATGCAAAATCCCCGCTTGGTACTTGGTTAAATTGATCCCTATACGTGAAAATACGTGATTGATCAAATTTATAATTTTGCTAATTCCGGAAATCTAACATTTCGTTCAGCGCAATCGAGCCTCCTTCCTACCGATCATTTTCTTATTTCGGTATTTCATATAATTTTTAAAGCCCTGTGATTCAGATTCAATGATAAACTTGAAAACATTGATCGATCCCTCGATTTGTTTATCTGGTGTGCTAGGGGGCGTATCAAAAATGCAATAAAACGAACATAACATTGAACAATAATTTATTAATTTCATACTCCCTTCTAAGGATTTTAGTGATCGTATATTTATCTAAATTACCGCATAAAATCTTTCCTTGAATGTTCACACGCTAGATTTACGAACCTTTAGTTTCCTTCGCAAGTTCGCAAAATTCCTTCGCTAAGTTAGCAAGTTTCCTTGAGCCGTCCCCTTCATCAGCATGCGCAGATGTAATGCGCAGTAGGTTTATCAATGGTGCTCACAGTGACCGATCTATCGTAAGTTTTCACCAAGTATTTTCAATTAACTCCCTCAAGTTAAGATCCTCGATTCACTAGATCTGAAGCTGATCCTATGAAGATAGATAATGGGCACATGAAAATCCAGTCGATCGCACATTAAGGGGGGTAATGATGATAAATTAGGTATGAAAACAAATCTACTTTCGGTTTCATTTTATAATTACAAGATTCTACCGTATTCAATTTAAATGATGCCCAGTATTGTGGTCGGACTTATATTGCCGTTTTAGACTTTGGAATGATTGCAAAAATGTTGAATTTCAACATGAAACGCTTTGACCCCAATTTGTGTAACTCCACACAGGGAGAAACTCCTCTCCCACTCCATTCACACCCATGACTCGCTGGACCAGATAATCAGATGATTAATAGTGACATTTTTCTTGCAATTGCCTAATTAATTAATTGTTAGTTGTTAATGTGCTATAAGAGTACAATAAAAGGTATGCACAAAATCAAAAAATAGATTTTGTATGTGGTTTCTACATTTTGTATGCATTTTTACTCAAGAAAAACACTTTTATAGCTTTGACTCAACTTTTTTTCTTGTGACTCACTTTTTTGAAACTACCTGAGTCATGATGACTCACAAAAATATATGCCTACCGCCACCGCTGCTGTCTACTTTTAGTAAACCTGGAAACAGGTCAATGGAAGCTCCTGTGTTGTCTGGAAACTTTGAAAGAAAATTTGGAAAATATGAAAGTGTGAAATATCAGAATTTCCTGGAGTTCCCATTGAACTCCTACTAGATATTCTTAAAGAAGACAATGCAATGATACTTTCCTGAAAAAAGCAAGGCAATTGACACATGTCTTCATACATTATTTTATACCAGAAAATAACATGTGCTGGTATAGCAATTTTTTACCAAAATGTTACTTTCCAGCTGTACCTTAAAGAATTTGAAAAGATTTTTTTCTAGGAGTAGCCCGTGAAAAACCGCTGATTCAACATATCTGAACATTTCAGAAAATATACTTCAAACATATATCAAAAACGAAGGAGCAACAGAAATTTGAAAAATTACCCGATAAAAAAATTGGGATCAAAATAAGGAAAAAAGTACACTTCTCAAATTGTTTTTTTCTATTTTTTTAAATTTGTATGAGAGATTTCAAAATTCTAAAGCTCCTTTTATTTTGGGCTATATTAAAGGGATGTTTCAGAGAAACTAGAAAAAAAATGTTCAGGGACCTTTGCCGTGCTACTCTTTTTGTCAATTTCTCTGTCACATTTTCAGAGGACTCAAATTCCAATTCCAAAATGTTTACTGTTTCTATTTGCATTACCACAGTGAGCCTGGTTATATAAATGATAAGAGAAAATCCAACCAAAAGACAGTTAATTTTGATGGTCAGATTATACTCAAATGCCATGTGCTTCCTGGTTTCGGCCATCTTGGATTTTTTGATTAAGTTATAAGTAACCTTAAATTTCGCGAATTTCACAAGTTTGAAATTCATTACTATTCCAGGAATTCTCGAGCTACTCGTGTGTAAATTAAGTTAGATGTACAGTAATTGCACTTACGTCGTTGTACACTTTATATGTTCCACGCTTGGACTTCATGTTATTTTTAGCAATTTGAACTTCAGTTTCTATAATATCGTCGATGTCATTATTAAGCCTAGGCCCATTGGTAGTAGTTGGCCTGAATAGCCAACGTAAAATAGACATGTTGGTGGAAATCATCCAATTATCGCCCAATAACACTAGACGAAAGAAATGCATCAGAGCCCCGGATAAAAACAAATTCCCAGGGATTTAATTGGCAATTTCGCGACGATATTTTTTCGCGATTTTAACACCTTCGCGAAAAGCGCGAAACTAAATCGCACGCGAATAATACCGTGCGTACAGTATGTCTATGTCTATGTCAATAATCTGCAAAAGGCTAATAAGCCCATATAAAGCCGATATATAATTTAACAGTCGTTTAATTGGCATATTTTCTTGAATTTTAACATTTAATGTCCCAAACTCCTACAAACTGCAGAAAAGTATACACCATAAATAATATATACCAAAATGAGTGTCTCCAAGGCTTCATACCAGCATATGCATAGTGCATTCGTCATGAGTTTTAGCTGAAATTTCGCCAAAATGAAGTAGGCTAAGGGTAGTGTCTGCCAGGTTTGTTTATTGTGGCAAGCTTGTAAGTGCTCAGAAGCAAATAATTCATGTGCGCAAAATAATCAAATAATCTGATTAGAGCTGGCATCAAATGTCGAAATGGTCGATTGTCAGTCGAATGCTCTCTGCGACACACATGTCGACACAACGCCTCTTGATCGACAGTCGGAACTCACAACATAATAAGCTATTTCCCTATGAATTAAAATCTTTGTTACTACCTGCTGTATGGTGTATTTTAGTGAAGTTTTACCGCCTACATTTTCAAATTTTCTTTTTTGTTTTGATCGACTTCCTGCTCTCGAATTAGGACTCAGGGCCCCTCGAGATTTACCCTCGAGATTTATTTTCAATGGCTGCCCGGAAATAACAGAAATCGTAGTTTTATGTCTATTTATTGCTTTTTATTCGTCAAAGCCTGATACTTGAACATGCTTTACCTGTAAGTTAAATATAAAACATACAACTGAGGATGACTATTGTGGCAAGCCTAGAAAATCTAGAATTTAGACGGATTTTCTTCACATTTTTTTTCATTTTTCGAATATCATAGGACCTGACAATGTCGATATCGTTGTCGATCGAGAGCTCCGACATGTCGACATTAAAATCCTATTCGATGCCAGCTCTAAATCTGATTGGTTTAAACTTTGCTGCACAATGTGTGACATGTTTTTTCTAGTGATTTCGTTTCGTTTCATGGAGTTTGTGTTTCAATGTAACTTCCGCAAAAATGGTGGACCATGGACAGAATTAAACGGCGAAATCACTTCGAAATTTCAAGAGAACTTTTTACCTATAATAGCAAAACTTTTGTTTTATTTGTGCATTTATATGGCAACAGGCAAAATAGCCTTCGCCTAAATAAGTCATAAAGTCTATCTATCAGATAAGAGTCTCAGGGGTATGTAGGCAAATTTATTTTGGTAGGAGCACTCTGTTTAGTTTGAAAATGCACCCTTTATTATTATATATCAGCACTGTAGACTAATCTATCACTGCAGCAGTGCAACAGACAAACATTCTTTTAGTCATAGTTTTCACTGAAAGATGGTTAAATAATCGACAGTCCAGACACTATTGGTCGTTTTGAATTTGCCTTTAATAGCCCGGGCGGGTTATTTTTATTATTGATGTAAACATAATTAACTCACCTTCATTGATCTTTACACACAGTTCATAGAATCGTATACCTCGCATGATATTTATTCTTTTTTATAGTGTAATAAAATTTCTTTAATTTCCACCTTTTTCCCGTCGACTAAGTTGCCATCTATATGTAAGCTTATTGAGAACAGACAAAAATGGGACGACTTCTATTTTAAATGTAAACGTTCAATATCTCATGAACAAGACAATCCGTTACCATTTCAATTCATGAAATATTAAAGTGACGGTTTTTAGAATATTACTTAAATTTATTGAACCCCAGCTAGAAATTTGCTTAACATAAATTAAGAAAAAGATTTTTAATGTATGATTTTTCATTCCTCTAATATTTGCCTTATATTGCAAACTTTTGGTGCTATTTTTAGATAAAACTACAGCAACAGATAATTGTGCATTTCACGATGCACCTGGTGCAAGTGAGATACCAGGCACTAAAGCAACGGATTATATCACCAGTGCTCCTATAAACTCTGCTCCATTAGTCCAAACAGACCCAAGTATATCTAATGGCACATCTACTATAACAAACAGTGAACAGACTGTCTCAATAACCAAAATATCAATGGACACAAATGGTCATACAGCACCTAGTGGAATAGATAGTGAACTGAACACTAACAAACCTACTAGTGAAACACAAGCTACTGATACAGACACAATCGTTACAGCATCTGATACAGCTGCTGCTGTTACAGCTGTGAGTGAGGAACCCATGGAAGAGGGAGAAGTAGTGAAAGAAGGTATGAAATGACTCGCATGAAGCTCATATTTTGCAGAATGTACACTTTTTAATAACTTTTGTGTAAAGGCTAAACAGTACATGTACATGTATTTTCTATAATGTCTTAAGCTTCTTGATTTCTCTAGAGAGAGAATACCCAGAATTCATAGATGACCCATCTTAAGGTGAACCTCCATCTTTACATGGATATAGGTTCATCTATAATTCTAGGGTATTTTCTCTACTTATTTTTATGTGGAAGTTCCATTCTTTAGCCATGATCTGAAGTGATGTTCCCTTTGTACTGTAAATTAGAAGTTCCCTCACCTATATTTGCTGATATTTGAAGCTATTGGAAGTTTCACAAGGTTGTATTGTCTTTTTCATATCAAATCACATTTTCAAAATGATTACTTATTCTTAATTTTTGGAATCTTCAACTTTTTCCCGCATTGATTGCAGATTGATAAATCATCTTTTTCTTCCAGATAAACCAGATGTAAAAGAGGAAGAATCCAAAGAACCAACAGAACTTGACAAGTACTGGAAATCTGTGAAGGACAATCCCTCAGATTTTACTGGATGGACTTATCTGCTACAGTATGTCGAACAAGAGGTAAGAACTGTATTTTTGTTGGTATTTCTTTATAATTTAATTTACATTACCAATTTCATACCAATGAAGCCTTCCTGAAAATTAATCAAAATACTTGTTAAGAGATAATTGTTGGAAGACTCAAATAGATTAAGCTTTTAAGATCCTCATCCAAGAATGTTGTCTTAAAATAGAAATTCCAACAATATTTTTCTTGCCGAACATTTCAGGATATCTCAATATCTGGATTCTGACCGACACTAGCAGACTGGTAATCTCACAGTTGCCATGGTATTGTTATTTGGATTTTCAAATTTTACATAAATTGTTGTTTGTTGAATTTGAAACAGATCTGTTTTTAGAAATTAGAGATACTCGATTGATACAAAGAATTTGAAATTTGATGGTATATTTTTTTCCAGAATAAGGTTGATAGTGCAAGAGAGGCATTTGAAGCATTCTTTGCACGATACCCTTACTGTTATGGCTACTGGAAGAAATACTCGGACCTTGAGAAACGAGCGGGAAACGTGCAAGTTGCTCAAGAGGTAAGAAAAGTGAATGTTGTGATACATCTCACGTCATAAAATATGTGTTTCGTCAATTTGAGCCAGGATTTGCTCATTATAAGATATTTTGACATTTCACATATTTCTTTGGGTGCAGATGTTATTGCTGGGTTTTGGATTTTTGGAATTCTAGGTTACATTGATGTGTTTATAATTGCGACTCATTAGTCATGCGCATGTGCTGTTTTCTTTGGCAGGTCAACGAACACAGTAGACTTGGGACATCTATCTTCAACTTAAGCTACCCAGATCAAATAAACCCAAAATATTATCATGAACTCGTTCATTAAGTTTCAATTATCAAAATTGCTCACTTTTAATGTAAAATGCTAAATGAATTAATTGACATCAGTGGCCATGGGCTTAGACAACAGTGACACCTATACAGTGGAATTGACACTACAGGACCCCTGAGATATGCTACACTACTGCGAAAATGAACACGGTAACTGGTTAAAAAGTGGCATGATTTTGATTTTCTAATTGCTTTAAATTTTCTAGAATGACCCCCCTCTTTCCAATATGTGTTGTTTACATCTGAAGTCTGTTGTAGGTTTATGAAAAAGCTGTACGAGCGATTCCTCTGAGTGCAGACCTGTGGCTACATTATGTAACATTTCTGTCCACTCGGCTAGAGGAGGAAGGCATAGATAGTGCTGAAATACAAGTCAGGGAGTAAGTGAATATTCATGGGTTAAAGATATGATCTTTCTTTTTTAAGGAGTAGAAAAAATGTAGAATCCAAAAAATCTATATCATCAGATTATGTGTAGTTATACAAGTCTCATTAGCGTTTAAATATTTTATTCATGCTTTGTTATAATATGTTAGTCATTTCATATAGGTCTCATGAACACATTTCATATGGGTCTCATGAACACCTAAATAGAGACATGAAATTCTGTACTTTGTTCTGTTAGGCTTTACGAGAGGGCTATAGAAACATGCGGAGGAGACTTCAGATCAGACAAGCTCTGGGAGGCATATATCAACTTTGAATTGGAGAAAAAGAATTTACAGAGAGTAACTGGCATATATGATCGTCTTCTAGCACTTCCAACGCAACTGTACAGCCATAATTTTGACAAGTAGGTTTTTATTGCACTGAAAAAGTGCAATTGAGTTTTTGGGTGTGCGTCTGTTTTTATTGCTGAGATCTCTCGAACCATTTATTTGACATTGGATATTCCTTCAGCTAGATGTTCTTTGTATTTAATTCCTGAAATGAATTTAAGACTATTAAGAAGATTACTATAAAATATGTTCAATTCACCATCAATCAATGATTTTGCAAATGGCACAGTTCTGCATTGTTACATGATAAAATAATATTAAGTTTGTCTAATCGATGGATAAAATGATCATACTGATGTGAAAATAATAGAATGATTCCCTGTAGATAGAATATGTTTTGTAAACAAAAAGTTCATGCAGTTCTTGATGATTATGATGTGACATGATTGTTCTTATTTCAGTTTCAAATCATTTGTCAATGCCAACGTTCCCAAGGATATTCTCTCGCTGGATGAGTTCTTAGAGCTGAGAAAGCAAGTGGTCACAATTACCCCTGAATTGCAACCTGGTGTCCCCGCAGATGATGAGTTATCCCCAGAGAATGCTCCTGCTGTTGATGATGCCCCACCAGGAGAAGAAAAGCCCCCAGGCGAGGATTCCCCACCCCCTGGTGAAGATAAGGCTGCAAAAACTGAAGAAGTGGTAAGATGCAAATTGCACTTTTATTAAATGTAATTGGATGACTTTAAATAAATCATGCTTGCTAAGACTTGCTGATAACCTGAATCTTAGAGGTCAGAATTAAATATTTTACCATTGACGGTTCCAGACAACATACATTCAATATCATTAAATAAAATATGAGAAGTTTCTGCACTCTAGAATTCCTATTCAGGCTTCTGTGTCTGGTTTGGCTGAATAGAGTGCTATAGTAAAGTGTAGTTTATTCCCCTATTGGGTAACATACCCTCTAGGTTTATTCCACTGCAGATAAGTAACAAAATGTAATGTTCACAAAATTGCAATGTTTCATATTATAGAAAAATTTTGAAATTTAAGACCCAAAAGATATCAACATTTGTTTAATCCCAGCATTAAGCTTTGATATTCAAATTCAGTTTGTCTGAATATTAATTAAAATTTTTGAGATAATTTGAAATCAGATTTTCAGAATGTTGCTTTGAAAATTGTGACATGCTTAAGTTGTTATGTCTGATAGTGTTAACCCTAAAAGTTGCTCAATTAGACTTGAAACCATGACAATTCTAGCTGGTTCTTACATTAGAAAAGCACTCAAGTCAGATCCTAATAAACTAATCTCTATAAAACATATTAATTACATTACAGAGTGGGGACCCTGAGACTGAAGCATTGCGGAAGAAAATCATAGAGATTAGGACTGTTGTTCACAAAACTACAGAAGAGGAAGTCAGCAAGAGGTGGCAGTTTGAGGAAGGGGTAAGGGAATACATTCACATCATGTTAGCATTTTTTGGGTTGATCATTCAAATCGTGTTCAAATTCTATAAAACAACAACTGGTAATTTTGTAACAACAACCAGGGAAAACTATCCACTGTTAATGAAACCCCTAACATGAAATTAATCATTTGTAGATTCGCAGACCATATTTTCATGTGAAACCACTAGAGAAAGCACAGTTGAAGAACTGGAAGGATTACCTAGACTGGGAGATTGAGAATGGCACACACAAGCGAGTTCTCCTGCTCTTTGAACGCTGTATGATCTCATGCGCTCTTTATGAGGAATTCTGGATGAAGGTTGGTTTCCATGGAATTCTGACATCATATTTAGAGAAGTCTTGAAGGTTCAGTAAATTCCCATTTTGTGTACAGGCAGTAATTTGTTGCATTCATAGACTATCACTTACCCAAAATTCAAATCAAATCCTGTATTTAGCCTTAGATACATTCCAGAATACTGTCACCATATGGATCTGCTTTTCTTGCTGGGTGTATTCTATCAGATATACAAATATCAGGAGATTTTTTCATTTGTTGGTCTTTGTCACAATTGATTGTCCTATTATATCAGATTTATTACCAGACAGACTGAGTACAATCCCTTGGAGCTACACTTAAGATTATTGTCAAAGAACACTTAGCAGTTTCACACCCAAATGAACATGAGCATTTTGAAAATATTCCAGATTCAGGTTTAAATATGTTATTTCTGCACTCAAGAATTCCTATTCAGGCTTCTGTGCCTGATTTGGCTCAATAGAGTGCTATAATAAAGTGTAGTTTATTCCCCTATTGGATAATATATCCTCTAGGTTTATTCCACTACAAACACATAAATCAAATACATACAATACAAGGGATCTGGACAAAACTGCACTTGAGAATCTATTTTCAATTTAATTTCAAGAGTTGCCATGCACCCAGATAAGAATCTATTTTTTCACCTTGTTGAGATTTCAATAATTGCTTTGCACCCAGTTGAGAATCTTCTGCACCTCAATGAAAATTTGGGATTTCCTAAAAATAAGTTGTGATTATATTTCTCATTTAAATTTTGCCTAAAGGTGTGTAAAAAGAATAGAATATACAAACATTTTTATTATTGTATAGTCTTCAAATATCACTCAGTTTGTTTACTAGTCTTGTCTTTTGCATTTCAGTATGCTAAGTACATGGAAGAGCACAGTGTAAAGGGAGTAAGAGAAGTTTATAAAAGAGCCTGCACAATACACCTTCCCAAGAAACCCACAATCAACTTAGCATGGGCAGCCTTTGAAGAGATTCATGGTAAATGATTAACTCTTTTTGTGTGTTATAGTTTGACAGTGTCTCGCAAATGTGTCACTAATTTAGCAACACATTAGTGACATGGTCCGTCTAATGACTATCCCCCATCAACTGTCAATCCTATATAACATACCTTCTTATCTTATATTATATCATATGAAAAGCTTATTCAATTTTGGACTTATTATTGAGCAACTTTGATTAATTAAGCAGGCAGTATTAAGCAGAAAGTATATGTTATATCTTTGTAAGTTATTTTAAGCAAGAGATGTACCTGAATTGTCTTGTATACATGAAACTCAAACGGGAGGTTTAATCTTGGAAAATAATTTACATTTTAGGTAATCCAACATCAGCATTTGAAGTGCTCCACAACTTAAATAAGCAGATACCACAGTATTCATCCATAGCACTACGTCGTATCGGACTAGAGCGTCGTCAAGGCAATGTGGAAGATGTTGAAGGGATGTTTGAAGAATACATTGATAATTCTCAGAATACGGAAACTGCAACATTCTACAGAATAAAATACGCTCGGTTCTTGATGAAGGTAAATTGTGCAACATTCTATATAAATAGGGTTCCACGATGCCTGGTTGAGCACTTAGTTTGATGATTTATGTATGTTTTGAATAATCCTACTTTTTACTACTTTTATCCTTTAATCATTCCTTTAGAATCAAGCTTTCTACATATTAGAATTCTATCGTATTGATCTGAATATAGCCTAATGAAAATTGATGTTCTGCACTCCAGAATTCCTATTCAGGCTTCTGTGCCTGATTTGGCTCAATAGAGTGCTATAGTAAAGTGTAGTTTATTCCCCTATTGGGTAATATATCCTCTAGGTTTATTCCACTACAGATAGGTACCATTCCAAAGAGAATCATTACAACCATAGTCATTTAATTTTGAATTTGTCAATGCACATGTAATATACAGTGAGACCTATATATTGATTCACATAAATTTAGTCTTGAAATTTATTAACACCTGCTAATCCAAACAGTTTTGGCCAGTCCCAGTTGTTTGGATTGTTACTTCTTCAATGATTGCATGGTGATCGGCAATCGGCGATCGGCGTCTGTAACAAATTATTACAACATCCAATAACTTAACAAACACTGTTTAGACTGACTTCAATTTTTTTCAAAATCATCTACATGTTTCCAGAAGTTCAAACCTGACTTTATATTTAAGATTTGACCTTTAATGACCTCAAAGTCAAAAAAGGTCAAAAAAGGTCAAAAAGGTCTTTTTTCAACTTGCTTCAAATTGACCAATTCTTTTTTTCAAAATTATCTACAAGCTATCAGAAGTTCAAATCTGACTTGAGATTTGAGATTTGACCTTCTCAAGGTCAAAAAAGATCAAAAAGGTCTTTTTTCAACATGCTTCAAATTGACCAATTTCTTTTTTCAAAATCATCTACAAGTTATCAGAAGTTCGAGTGTGACTTTAGATTTGAGATTTGACCTTCAATGACCTTCTCAAGGTAAAAAAAAGTCAAAAATGTCTTTTTTCAACTTGCTTCAAATTGACCTATAGTTTTTTCAAAATCATATATAAGTTCTCAACAGTTCAAATCTAAATCTAAATTTGACCTTCAATGACATTCTCCAAGTCAAAAAAGATTTGATCTTCAATGACATTCTCAAGGTCAAAAAGGTCTTTTTTCATCTTGCTTCAAATTGACATTTTGTCATGTTAATGCCTTGTATTGCAGATATTTTCACCTTCAATACACCTTCAATAATGTTATATTGCATATATTTTTACCTTCAATAATGTTAATTGTATATATTTACAGGTGAAGAGAGATGTTGCTAAAGCCAGGACAGTTCTTAACACTGCAATAGACAATGATAAGGTAACACTCTCCTGGAAATATTTGGCAAGACCAACTTCCTCCAAGGAATATGCATAAAAAGCCTGTTTGTATTTATTTTAAGTGGTTCAATGATCCACTTCGTTTTTACAGTTCTTGTCTATTTAGTGGCAATACTTGCAAGTGTGCATCTATACATCACAGATGTCCATCTAAACCAGTTGCCTAGATTGAACCAGCATACATGAATTAATGCGATATTACTCAGTGTTCTATTGCAGAAGTTTATGTATGCAACATTTATAGCATTTTAACATTTATTAGAAAACACAAAAATATTCCAACGATATTTTCTAACGGGTGTTTGTGACTTTTCCTTAAGCCTCTTTATCAATTGATAAATCCTGTTCATCTACATTTTTTCTAAATTTAGAATGAAGTGTCTCATATCCTTGCGTTGATATACAATTGAGTTTGTTCACTCCATAATGGTTTACTATATTTCTTGCTTATTCCTCTCTTTACCACTATATTTTGTATTTTAAAATGTGACCAACATCATTGCTAACATTTTATATTATCTTGCAGAAAAATGCCAAATTGTATAACCAGTTGATAGACTTGGAGTACCAGTGTAACCCTATAGATGAGACTCGAATGAATGAGGCCTTAGACAGAGCCTTGGGTGCCAACTTCTCTCAAGATGAGAAAGTGAAGTTCTCACGGAGAAAACTAGAGTTCAATGAGGATTTCGGAAGTGACGTTTCCAGGTTTGCCATTGTTTTTTTTTATCCCATAATGAGTGAATATCACTAACTGTGATACATCATATCACATTAAATATGAGTTAACTTTACAATCTTGATCTTCCTTTGAATGAAAATCCCAGTGATCAGTTAAAAATTGACAAGGGAAATTATATTTTATTTATTTTATGTTGGCAATACTTGCAAGTGTGCATCTATACATCACAGATGTCCATCTAAACCAGTTGCCTAGATTAATTCAACATACATGAATTGATGTGATGTTACTCAGTGTTCTATCACATATGTTTGTGTATGCTACATCTTAGACTTCCACGCCCAAATTGCAGTTAAAGGCCCCATGCAAAGTCTGTGTTTGGTGCATCTTAGACTTCCATGCTCAAATTGCAGTTAAAGGCCCCATGCAAAGTTTTTGTATGCCACATCTTAAACTTCTACACTCAATTTGCAGTTAAGAAACTGCATCTGTAACAAATCAAATGTTATGTTCAATTGTTAAATACAATACAAACTTTCAAGTGGTACCCATAACCCTGGGTTAGTACTAAACAATTAAAGATTCATGTATATTTCTTCCCAATTGCTTAAATCTTAAAAGTTATCCATAGATCAAGGTTGGAAGTTACTCAATGACTGATATTCGTGTGACGGATAATGATTTTCAAAGCGGATATGAATATTATGAGAAAAACTGTTCCAGTTCATTTTGAAAAATGTTTGCATTTTTTTTCCATAAAGTTATTAATCTGTAACAAGAAGCAATATCAAATATCCAAGTAATAGTCAGGAAAAAATATGGGGTATTTTGAGGATCAATTGTATTCTTCGGATAACAATTTGTTTAACTTCTCAGCATGAATATAGGGTTGGGACATCAAAACCACAGAATGCCAGAGCAGCATTCCGTGGTTTTGAGGTCCCAACCCTATATTCATGCTGAAAAGTTAAAAAACAACAACATTGTAATCCGAAAAATCGATGAGCTTTGAACTTTCTGCCAGAATATAACCAATGTTGCAATCACATATAGATGGCATACACGTAGACTCAGAATCGATTCATTGACATTACAGTGTACTTAAACAAATGTCAATGTTATTAGGTTAATGGAGGTATATGAAGAACACCAGAAAGTGATGAAGGAATATAATGCAACTAAGAAGAGAAAGTCCACATCCACAAGTGAAGAGGCAGCTCCTAAGAAGACTAAAGTTGAAGTCCCACCTCCTACTTCATCCACTGCAGCCTCCACTTCTGGGTATAGCAACACTGGGTATGACCAGTCAGGATATTACCAGAATACATGGGGAAACTATAACCAGGTAGAGATTATGTATATGTATTATTACAGTACCTGTTAACACTGGAACACCCTGACAACGGTTAAGTCAGATAGTGTTGTCACATATGGCAGAGGTAAACAACGGTCACTTCAACTCTTTAATCACTTGGTTCTCATTTCATAGGAGCTTATTATCGCTAATTCTGTGCATGTATTAAGCTCTTGTGATGGTGCATTGAATGAAATCATAATTTCGATCAAAAGTGGTCGTTAATCCTAACAATACACCCTTTCCAGAATTCATCAATGACAATGGAATCTGAATTTGAAATAATTAACAGAGACAATGGCACACAGTTAGATGAGATAACGGACTATGGTGGATGTACTGCATTGGAACATAGGAAAATCACAATGTGAACTTAACACTTACTGTTGTCTTTATAAATACCGTTTCAAATATTACTGGTTTGTCATCCTGATTTTAAAGCACATTTGTCTCACATTTACCGTTGTCATTTATACAGCCTCTATTGTCCAGTGTGTCATAATTTGATCAGTAAATTAAAGCCTTTATTTCGATGATATACAATATTTAACTATACGATGAATAGAAAGACACTTTGATTGATTGTTGTACCAAAGTAATTTAATCTAGGTGCTCTATTAAACCTGCAGTTAATGAAAATCGAATCGAATACGAACCTGTGGCTATTTGCAACAAAGATATCTGACTTTACTGTTGTCCGGGTGTTCCGGTGTGATGTTGTTATTAGAGTGCTATTTTTTAATACTAAGTTTCATCTCCACTATAGAATAGACTAGATGCGAGTAGAAATAATCTAGATTTACGTCATTAAATATTCAAAATTCAGTCAAAGTGATGTCATATTTGAAATCTACATGTAAAAGTACATCTAGAAAAAGGTTTCAAAAAAGGTTGATTCCCCATAGACCCAATGTTACATAATCACAAATAAAGAAATATCTTAGATAACATTTACCTTGACTGGACATATTTTAACTTGCATAACTAGTAGATACATTAGGGTTATATGAAAATTGAACCACCAAAACAGATGTTATTAAAGTTAAAGGGAACTTTCTGCTTTATCCGCCATGCTATCTGACCCAATCGTGCCACCTGGTGGTGAAACTGGTAACTACCTACTGGCATCTGTGTTATTGCTGGGTTTCACTGGTCAGAATATTGTACCAATATTCTTTTTTAAATTCATATTTTATCAATTTTGATTTTTACATGTCCTCAGGGAAGATAATTTTTTCAATAAATTTTACTTTTACAACTTATATCTGTCTACATACATATCATTCAAGAACTCCAGGCAGGGATTACTATTTATAACAATTTCAATTGATTAATTACTATTAATAGTAACATATATTATTACTCATTTGCATTATTATGACATCATAAAAAAGATTATCAAACTGGTTTTTCATTACATCATCACAACAATTAAGACTTGAAATACCAATTTACATGTAATATACACAGCTTTTTGGTCATACCAGGTTAAACGCTGAAATGTCTTTTGGTAGACCTGTAAAATGCTAATGTTCTCACAGATAAATGTTACTCTTAATCTCACTATAGAGTAATTATTAAACAATATTTATTAATTTATGAAATAAATAATATTTTCATTTGATTTGCAAAAATAAATTCAATAAAGGATGTGTCCTGGTATATGTCCTTTTGGTCCCTCAGTCAAATGTATGTGAAATATGTTTTTTATTACTGTCCTAGTTATATTTGATAAGTATATTTACATTTTCATGAGTTTTGATGCATAATTAACCCCCTGCTGAGAGTCAGAATATGTATCTTAACAAAAAAAAGTCATTATCATAGAAAAACCACCAATGGCAACATGTATGACTTACAAAGAAGAAATAACTTAAGATCCATGAAGAATTTAAAAGAAAATCATATTTTTGAAATATATTTAAGGATTAAATTTTTTTCAAATTTTTGAATTTCCCGCCAGTTGAATTTGAAGGGGGAAAAATAAGATGGCTGCCATTTGATGTAAGAAATAACAGAAAAAAAGTTGCTCCACTTTTAGTTTTCACAATGAGCACAGTTTTCCGGTTTAGGTTTTTTGACAGATTCTGACTCTTCATCACCAGGGTCATGTATAGAGATTATAAAATTGAAACCAAAATGTTGTGCTCAGCATGAATTTGACTGAAATATGTGTAACTTCACCAACACAATTGAAGTCTCAAAACTGGATGCTCAGTTACTTTTAGTGATTATAATCCCTTGATTACCCAGATAAACACCAATTCACTTATCCAGAAATACCATTCAATGTCTATACAAAGAAAGTAAGCAATGTTTTGGAGGATATGTTTCAAACCTTTTGTATAAATAATTCATTTAATATTTGCCATTGATTTTTTTTCACTTCTGATAAAGTGATATGCACTGTCTTTGATGCCAATTTTCTTCATTAATTGTGATACAAATTGATATTTTTGTACTCTCAGAAGAAGGATAAGATATTGAAGTTTAATAATATGTGTGATTGAGTTGGTTTTTCAGACATTACAATTTTCAATATTTTCTAAGTCGATACCCAGACTCATTCCCAGACTCATCCTTTACTTTTACTTTTATACAGTTTATCCTGACATTTGATATTAAGTTAATGTTTTAGCACTTGACCTCTTTTGCTAACCTTTCTCTGTTTGATAAAGTACAATCCCAGGCAATGTAAACAAAAAAGATATTGGCCCAATTTCAAATTTTGTTTGCTAATCTTATTCATGAGTACTATATTGCACCAACTTACAAGGTTACAATAACTATATTTAGTTCAAGGACAAGTCTGGGCTTCTAATTTGAACATGAAGTTATTAAGAATCATACCTATTTTAAGCAACACTTTAAGCATGATTTTTGTTCAAATATTTTGATTGTCACTCAAATTACATGATGACCTCATTTTTTTATTGTTGTATCTTAAAAGATAGCATATTTGTCAGCTTTTCATTTTTTGAAAAATACCATCACACCATCTGCTAGAGAGCACATGCATTGACTCTAAATAAACTTTTCAATTGTAGATGTAGATTCTTGTATTATTACATCATGGAAAGTACCAAAGAAACTATGGGAATTCTTTCTTATGTCATTAAGGGTGGTGAAAAGTCCTGGAAAAACAAAGTGAATTTTCTTCTCGACTAATCCCCCCTATTTATTGGAACTTGTGATGTTTCCTGAAACTTTATTAAATAAATGAAATGATCATTAACCCCCCCCCCCCCCTATATGTATTAGCGGATACCACCCAAGATAAATGTTGTAAGTCACACATCTAAGCCCAATCCTTTTTCATAGTATGATGTGACTGCCTCTTTTCAACCATTGGGTATATCTTCCTCTTTAAGAGACCATTCTCCGAACGCAGAGTTTCACATGTCATCCACTAAGTTTATATCTTCTTCCAAGGAGGTACAAGTTCTGGAGGCCTGTATTCAGAGAATGTAAAGACACCAATGTAATCTTTTCTTGGAATTGAAAGTCTATCTAGAACATTGAGAAGGTCTTTCACTCTGCATTTTTTGCCTTGCTTTTGTTTCCAGGAAGTTAACATATCACAGATCCCATTTGCTGCGTCCAGTTGGTTGGAAATCATATGTGTGTCTAACTCTCCTTTAGTAAAGCCAAGTTCATACGCAAGCTGTTTGTATTTGAACCCAATGTGTCTTGAAATCCCCAAAAGCTCTTTGTCTGTTGGTGTTCGTTGTGATACATCTTCTGGGAGTTCTAATGGCACTTTGTTTTTCAGTACATCAAAATCTCCTTCTTTTTGATTCTCTGTAGACCAAATGGGACTTCCCTTATATTCATTTTGAGTGAAGATTTTATCTATGTACATGTAATATTTTCTTGGAATGCAAAGTTCATGGAGAATATTGTTGATATCTTTCACTTTAGCCTCACTGCAACCTTGCCTTTGTTTCCAAGTTGTGAACATATCGCTGATTCCATTTTCTGGATACAGTTGGTTACTTAGCATGTACATTTCTGTCTCTCCCTTTGAGTACCCCAGTTTTTCTCCAAGTCGTTCATACTGGTCTGTTAACGGGGGAAATGTTGAGAGCTGACTTAGTTGTTTGTAACTAACAGTACTTTGTAATACATCCTCTTCAAATTCATGGTGATTTCGGTCTGAAAATATGGGCAAACTATCACATTGTATGCTTACACACTGTATCATTCACAGCTTTCTTCAGGAATCAAAGGTAAATGTGATTGAGGAAAAGATCAAATTAGTTGAATAATTTACCATATTGTTCAAATAAAATTACTTCAGACATTAAACCATCTACCAAACTACCACAACATCATCAAAAAATTAACATACCTTCTGCGAGTGGTCCAAGGCGTATCCATTTGTGATACAGATATAGTGCAGAGGTCGGTTCTCCATTGGTTTTCAGTACATCAATAAATTTTTCAAAATCTCCATGCTTGGCATTCTTCGTAAACCAGTCGAGGTAAACTGTAACCTTTTTGTTATCCCCTTCAGTTTCATTGATTTCATTTTCAAGCCCTGTACTTAATAAACCCCCTCGATTTAGGTGTCTTAGGAGGTATTGAATGGTTGTGTTTTCTTCCAGGAATTTTCTTGTTTCTTTGTCGTTAATTATCGCTGTTTGTACCTGATTCAATGTGGTCTGAAACAAAGTCAACACAATTCAACAACAATTAAGCCTTACAATGTAAATTCATGAATAGTAAAATTGCTAAAAATATATTTTTGAATATGTACATTTAAATATGCCTACAAATCATTTTACTTGCCTGTTCAGCTGTGTCCAGATAGGTACATCCCACCAAACTCTCTTCCCGTAAATCAATATTGTACTGATGTTCAATCGAAGTGAATTTAGAATTTAGTGTTTCTGTCAGCTTATCATAATTAAAACAGTCCTCAATTTCTAAATCTAGAAGAACTTTGACAGCATCTCCTCGCAAGTAGGAGACCAGTTGAACTGCCCGGGTTGGATCATCCCATTTATGATAAGTAGCGATTATGTCCAGTTGTCTTTTGTAATATTTGAACTCGTATGTGCCATCATAGGTGTGTGGCATTGGACCGTCCATTTTGGCAAAATAATATTTCTTCAATTTTTAATGCTTTTTATGCCTTTATATGATTTATTTTTTTTAGCTATGCTTTCATTGTTTCTTTTGTCCTATTGGTAAATGACTAATTACTCAAAGATCCTTTGAGTAACAAATAGTTACAACTATTATATATGAAGAATAAATTAAATTCTATTTTTAGGGTTGATATTGATTATGCCACATCAGCAAAAATGTGTTCCCTATAAAAAATATAAATCATCCTATCTAATCAGGAAGTTAAACAGGTGACAGGATAAAAACACATGGTCAATCAAAGAATTTCAAGGTGGCCTGTCGAACTTGACATGCTTAAGTTTTATTTACTTTTATGTCAATTGTTTATTCATATTATGTCCGAATTAGTTGGTCATTTTATGACTCAATAAAGAACTTTGATTAGTTAATAAATGGAATGCCCCATTGTCATAAACCATGACATCGCATCTCCTCTCAGCCCTGAGATGCATGTTTCAGGCTATGAATATCAGAATGGGAATACCCTGAATATGTATGATGCAACAATACCCTGGGTTCCAAGTCTATCTTCAATCTCCATACAATTGGTTGAGTGCCTATCAAGCATGATTATTTCTATGGCAAGGAATGCACGAACGGAATGCTAGGAGAATAATAGCAATCCAAAATATTTTTGAACTAATATTTTTTGATATTTCGACTTCTTGTTTGTTTTAAAAAAATTTATTCGGTCATAAGACAACTCACAATTCAAATTCTGAATTGAAAAATGGCGGCAGTTCAATTTTGAATTTTGTAATCATGATAATCCTCCTTAATGATAACATTATAGTATTCTGATTACAAGCTATGTAAGTCAAAATTAATACAATTGTTGTAGGTATGGTACATTTTCGAAGATGGGTATGGTATGGAAGTAGGAAATAATTATCCCACCGAACGAAGTTCGAGGGGGATATAGAAAAGCCGTCCGTTCCCCCATTCGTTCGTCCGTTCGTCCGTTTGTGTGTCCGGGCGATAACTCAAATACCAGTTGACGGATTTCATTCAAATTTTAAAGGCTTATGCCTTATGGGTGTAGGACCTCTGCTCGAGAAGGAATTTTCAATATGGCCACTAAATTCAAAATGGCGGCCACTTTTCAGAAAAAATATAATTTTTGATTACTCAAATACTATTGGATGAATTTGGTTCAAATTGTATATGCTGTTGCCTGAAGAAGATATTTTCAAGATGGCCGTCATATTTCAAAATGGCGGCCATTTTTCGTAAAAAACGTTATCTTTGATAACTCAAATACCATTGAACGAATTTGGATAAAATTTTATATGCTGTTGCCTGGGTACAAAGGAGCCTTGCTCAAGAAGACATTTTCAAGATGGCCACCATATTTCAAAATGGTGGCCATTTTTCTTAAAAAAACGTTATCTTAGATAACTCAAAAACCATTTAATGGATTTGGTTCAAATTTTACATGCTGATGCCTTGGAACATACGAGCTCTGTTCGAGAAGGGATTTTCAAGATGGCAGCTAAATTTCAAAATGGCCGCCATTTTTCATAAAAGAATGTAACCTTTGATAACTCAAATACCAGTTGATGGATTTGGTTCAAATTTTATATGCTGATAAAAACACAATCTTTGATAATTCAAATACCAGTGGATGGATTTGGCTCAAATTTTATATGGCCGCTATTTTCCAAAACATGTTTTGTTCGGTGGGATTTGCTACTCCGTGGAGTTGCTGTTTTTCTAGTTTTAAATATACTAGCTAGTGACTGATATGTCATTGATATGACAAGATTATTGAGTCAATAAAAGATATAATGGATACCAGGCTACAAAAAATCAATAATGACAAATTGACCATAGTATAATTTACATAAAGGGAGTTACCCTAGTTTGTTGGGTATTTTATGAATTTGAATTTACTAATTGTGAATATGATGTCATGATTTTGAATGATGCTATTTCATCAATTTGATGAGTGCTGTCAAGGGAAACCCATCTATGAAGTTGATAATGCATGGAGGAATATTTCACCAATGTAGTGTACTGTAATTCACATCATTAACAGACAGGCTTTATTTGTCATTCAGTATTTACCATGTGAGTCAAAATATCCTATTCTCTTTGTATTGATTATTTGCCATTCCTTGAATGAAATACAGTATTCATGTTTTTGAAACTATTGTAAAGGGTAATACTTGCAGCACTCATAACCTTAAACCACAGAGGTCAATTTTAACCGGTTGTCTTAAACGAACCCTGGTACATTGTAAATGTTGTACATATAGACTACTTTTACACTTCAACTGCATACCCATATTACTTTCATTGATAAAAATAGTCTTAAAGATCCTAAATAAACCCAAAATATTTGTAATTTATAATGAATTATGACTTGCACCATTATCGTAATAAAATTTTGTACCAAACATGTGTTCTGGGAATATCACAACCTGAAAAATTCCATTGATGGTAATATAAGCATGTGAAGTTCAAAATGGAATTTTCTATTTGCATCTGTTTTCAGCTGTAAATGCAATTAATTCACTTTCTACTGGAACACTTTTTTTAAAGTTTTGATTATTACTGAAAATATGTATTTTTGTAAGTTAGATTTCTTGAATTAAAAAATATTTTTGGATACATTTAGCAGGGGTTTCACTAGAATTTCTCACAACAGGCTAAATAAAGGAAAATAACAGGCATTTATTAATGGAAATCATATATTTAACTACGGTCCCTAAAAACAACAGGCGATTTTGTGAATATAACAATCAGTGAAAATTGCCTTTTTCCTGCTGCTAATGAAACCCCCTAAAAGGGATAAGTAAGGGTCTTCGTCACTATGTGCTGCTTTCTTTTTTCGTTTAGGATGATCATTACAGCTACTTGCCCTTTATCTCCATTTGTAATGCAGAATACAAACTGATGTGTTATTATTTTGTTTGTATTTGCAGGGTTACTATGGTGCTGGAGGATGGGGAGGCTACAACACTGGATATTACTAAACTTCTATTTGGAGTCATCCTACAAGTGGGGAATGGGGAATTGGACAATGCATGTAAATCTGTTAGCTGGTTTCAAAGGACTAAAATTGGCACATTTGCGAAGAAGATATTACTGCAACTATTGAAAAAATGAGAAAGACTTGGCTTCTGCCACAAGATTGTTGGGAACTGTAAGACAATGTTTTTTAGAACTGAAACATGTACATATACAACCATATATGTATAGGAGTAAACAAAAAACACTGTGTAGTTATATACATGTCGTAGTTTATAGGTGGCTGGCTACCATTTGAAAAGAACCATCATTTTTTGAAAAAAATCATCATTGTTGTCTTGTTTCAAAATTACTTCAAAATAAAGAATAGTATCGAATTTTCATCTATGGGATCATTTCATCTTTACATTTCAGCTCATATTGTAACCATATTTTGGCTTGACCATAACTTTGTCAATTTTGAGAGAAGTCAATAATTTTGTATCTCAATTGAGAGCCAATTTTTGCTGTGAAGCAATGCACATTTTTGAATCAAGACCAACAGACTCCAGTTTTGGCTCATTGTGAATGCATCTATTATTGCTTAACTATTCTACAGTAAAACCTGTGTATATTGAACATTTCAGTTCAGTGTAGGTGTTAACTACCGTGTGTAATTTAAAAAGAAGTTAGTCTAGCATGTGTGGAGTAAGGGTGTTCTCTAGAGAGGAGTTCACTAATACAGGTTTTACTGAGAATTTCTTTGAATTTCTTTTGGTAAAGTACTTTTATATTCATGAGACCAGTAATAATCAAAAAACCTATTTGCAAGTTGTGAGTACAAGTTCCTGATAAGTTTTATCAGTATACCTGATGGGATGTATTATAAGATACATCGTGGAGATAGAAATGGTACATCATCTTAATCGCATATCAAGGTTTTTAACATGGCTATCTTTGACAGATTAGATAAATGAAACCATAAATGACGCTCACATTGAGAGGTGTTCACTGTTCAGTTAAGAGATTTGTTTTTTTCAATTTCAATTCAATTTATTAAATATATATGCATACAACAATACAAAATTGATGAAGGGAGCAAGACACCACTGAAAGGTGTATGGTGCCCCCTGTAACAATAAAAAATTCATATGAGATGGCAATTGAAGATGACAAATAGGTATATGAATGGAAAAAATTCTTGGAACTATCATATTAAGTAAAAAAGGTTTTGTCCCTGCGATTTCAGCTATGATACAAAGCTGTTTTGGCCTCCTCCCAATGTCCCCGTTTCCTGATATAGTTGGTGTTCATGCTAAAGATAAAAACAAAGATAAGAAATTCTTGAGATCAAAAGTGCCAGAAAATGCCCAAATTGAATGGTGCGTTGGGAATTTTATTGTAATCAAACAACAAGTGAGCACCTCAAAGTCTTGGTTGTGGCTGAGTTAATAGATGATGAAAATATTTTGATTTGAATAATTTTTCTGAGTTCAATGATCTTATATTCTCTGGGATTGAATTCCAGATGGTTTTGCCTTGGGGCCCCTCAGGTCAAATTTGTTTCTTGTGTCGCGGTCATGGATGCTATAATTGGTTGTAAAGTAAGAAGAATAAAGATCATCCATCAAGTCATTATTGCCCTTTACACATTTGAAAACAAATAAAGCAATTCTCAACTTAACAATTTGATGAATATTTAGCAATTTATGTTCAATAAAGAGTGGTTTAGTTATCCCAACGAACGAAGTTCTGTAGGGATATAGTGAAGCCCTCCGTCCGTCCGTCCGTCAGTCAGTCAGTCAGTCAGTCAGTCAGTCAGTCCGTCCGTCTGTCCGGAAGATAACTCAAATATTAGTTGACCGATTTTCTTCATATTTGGTGGAAAGATGAATATTGATAAATAGTTTTACGCAAAAAAAAAATTTTTCAAGATGGCCGCAACTTTAAAAATGACGGGACTTTTTCGCAAAAATCATAAATTTTTCATTCTAAACCAAAGTAATTAATATTATTGTTTGAAATTTTGATAGTATTTTCACAACATCTATCTTTTTCACATATATTCCGTGTTTTTCATCCTGACCCCCAGGGGCCGTATATGGGGGGTCAGGAAAACAGAGATTTTCGCTAATTCTTAGATCTTTCTCAAGTATAGCTTTATTATACTCAAATGAAAGGCAATTAAGAGTAGATTGCAAATATTGTATCTTTTTTCTGATTCGAGCCTCTTAAATTCAAAATGGCCGTCTAATGTACGATTTTGCAATACTTTTTCGATCCCTTCAAAGTATGGCTATATTATACTCAAATTGAAGGAATTTTGGAGTAGATCACAATTATGGTATTATTTTTCAGATTTGTACCTCAGAAAATTCAAAATGGCTGTTTTGCAGGAATTCGCAATTCTAAAATCTAAATTTTCCAATTTTAATCAAAGTAATGAGTATAATTGATTGGAATTTGGTAAATGATATTTTGTTCGTTGGGATTTGCTACTCCGCGGAGTTGCCGTTATCTAGTTGGATCTCTATAGTGATGAGATTTATCGAGCATACGTATAAACTGTTTTTGAATTGAATGAAGCTTATTTAAGAGTGTTTCAGGCACACATCCCCACATTATTATGTCAGAATTAAAATTGGAGTAGATTTAAGTACATGTATAGATAGATTTATGTACTGTATGCCCTGTGAAAATCAAACTCCAAAAAGAAATTAAGTACTTAATAATTAATTGATAATTATTTGCTTATCAGATGATTTAAAAAATCATTTTTACAATTTAGTTACTACTTGGTACCAATAACCTTTATATTTGATCAGATAAGATATATTGATTTTTTACAGAAAATAAAATAAGTAAGGAAAAGCATTGACACTATTTATATATTTGAAGATTCCTTGCAAAATGTCACAGGTTCTATATCCCCTTTCCTTTAATAGCACTGAATATATTTTTGAAGATTCCTTGCAAAATGTCACAGCCTCTCTATCCCCTTTCCTTTAATAGCACTGAATATATTTTTGTGTAAAATAAACTGAGGAAATAAATGATAATGATGGATGATAAAATATATAATGTATTTGGTATATTTTTATATCTTTATTTTGGTGTAGAAACACTATTTGCAAGATAAGCATTTTTACAAAGAACAGACTGAATGTTCTCAACCCCTCATGAACTATGTCAGGTGGGATAATAAAACAATTATGTCAAAACTGAATTTTTATTTGATGTTAACTTAAGAAATATAGACCTCAGAGCAGGGGTAATATCGTTAAATACACCCCGCAGGGCTAGGCACAAACGTGTTCATTACCCTGAACGACCGAAGCGAGTGAGGTGTTCGAAAGCTTTTGTGCCTAGCCCTAATGGCTGTATTGTACGATATTACCCCTGCTCTGAGGTCTATATTACGATTCGAACATGAAAACTCACGAAAATGTTTCTAATATTCATTATGGTCCGCCATTACTACGGCCTGCCGTTATGACGTCACACATTACACCTATTACCAGGGGTATTCTTCGCGAATATACCCCGGGTGAAATGTTGACTTTGTTTACAGTTTATAGAAGGCGTGAATACAGTCATGTTCGAATATTAGTTTATTCATAATTATTCTTGTATAATGGATTTGAACTCCTGCTTTCTGGTTTCTTTATAACTTAACCCCCTGCATGTCAGTAAATTAATCGCCGAACATAATGTAACAAAACCTTTATACACCCGTGGCCTTTCCATAAAGGGTAATTCCTGTTTCCAAACCTTTGGTGTGGTGTATATCTATTTATGCTTTAGTGTCATATATTGTGATTGTGTGGATCCTCGAATGTGCCAATTGTTCATATGATCTGATGCGAGATTGTACATGTGCGTTCCTGTACGTTCCATGACCAGAGTTAAATACTTATAGCATTAGGTATTTTGGCTGGATTTAGATGTGGATAAACATTCCCTCTGGCCCCTTGTTTCGCTAGTATCACTCTGTCAATCTCTGCAAGATCCTTGCGGAAACTGAAAAGATAAATATATAATCTGGTGCAAGGTTCTGAGTAAAGTGTTCGCATTTCTGATTTATTTCCTTGAATATTCTTTCACGATATTTTCGTTTTAATATTCCCGCTACAGTTACTGATTACCCCTCCCCCACCCCATACCGTTTTTATGTCCCCACCACATAGTGTGGGGCCATATTGTCGGCCTATGCGCGTCTGTTTGTCTGTCTGGCCGTCCGTACGTCCGGCAGTTTTCTCCAAAACCGCTACAGATATCACCTTCAAATTTTCAGGGATAACTTATGAGTGTATACAGATGTGGATGAAATTTTTTTAACTCGATACCTACTTCCTGTCGGCCATTTTGAAGTCAAATGCTAAAATCCTTGTCCGCAAACTTAAAGAAAAACAGCTTCACAGTTGCTTTTCAAGCTTTAACATCTTGTTCAGCTCACTTCATTCTAGATCTGATTAGGTTTTGGACATGTTAGCTCAGTCATGGCAGCCATTTTTAATGTCTTAAGAAAAGTTAGCGTGCGATAATACTTTGTATCATATTGAATGGTGTTTTTGAGTTTTCATACTTCGACTATTTTGTAGCTTTATAAATAATTTCAGGTGTGCTTTGTTGTAAAAGCCTATGTTATTGTTAATGATAGTTATATGTGATAATTTTTTTGTAAAAAGCAATCAGCAAAAACTCATAATCACTTTTTTATTGTCGGCCATTTTGCATTTTTTCGTCCTAAAATCTTGTTTGTAAAGTCTTGTCTACACATTTTCAGGTGAACCGTTTGGTAGATCAATTTTAAATTTTCATGGATGATTCTTAGTACAAAAATCTAGATCTGATAAGTTTTTTGGCATTCTGGGTAAATGTCAAGGCGGCCATTTTGGATTTTCCGTCCTAAAATCTTGTCTGTAAAGTCTTGTCTATGCATTTCCAGGTGAACCGTTTGGTAGATCGATTTCAAATTTTCAGGGATGATTTGTAGTATGAAAATCTAGATCTGATTAGTTTTTTGGCATTCTGGGTAAATGTCAAGGCAGCCTTTTGGATTTTCCGTCCTAAAATCTTGTCAGTAAAGTCTTGTCTACGCGTTTTCAGGTGAACCGTTTGGTAGATCATTTCAAATTTTCAGGGATGATTCTTAGTATGGAAATTTAGATCTGATTAGTTTTTTGGCATTTTGGGTAAATGTCAAGGCAGCCATTTTGGATTTTCCGTTCTAAAATCTTGTCAGTAAAGTCTTGTCTACGCGTTTTCAGGTGAACCGTTTGGTAGATCAATTTCAAATTTTCAGGGATGATTCTTAGTATGAAAATCTAGAACTGATTAGTTTTTTGACATTCTGGGTAAATGTCAAGGCAGCCATTTTGGATTTTCCATCCTTAAATCTTGTCTGTAAAGTCTTGTTTACCCGTTTTCTGGTTAACTGTTTGACGGATCAATTTCAAATTTTCTGGGGTGGTTCATAGTATGAAAATCTAGAACTGACTCGATCATTTAATGGCATTCTGGTTAAAATTTAAGGTGGCCATTTGGATTTCCCGTCCTCAAATCGTGTCGGTAAAGTCTTGTCTACTCATTTTCAGGATAACCATTTGACGGGATCACCCATTGGTGGGGACATTTTGTACACATTTGTGTTCTTGTTTATTATCATGCAATGCCGTATGTACTGATATATACCTCTCAAGAGCCCGCAGTGTGACAGGATCGTACGCATATTGTACTTCAAACTCTCCCAAAGGTTTTGTGTCCATTGCACTCAGTATAGTAGTAAGTAACATCATATCATATGTCTGTTCTTTTGTGGCAAGATCTCTTACGACATCTTTCTCCGATAGTGTTGACTGAAATAATTAAAACAAGGCATTAGAAATGTCACCACACCACACCACACAACAAAATGTCACCACTTCTGGTGGTGACATATTAGAAAATTGAAGACCAATGTCTTTTTCGTTTCAAACTGGACGATGTTTTCAAACTTTGCATGGGGCCTTAATTAGAGCTTCTACTTTTCTTGTTACAAAGTCATCGCTATTGCACTCCCAATGAACGCTTGACTTCCTGACGTCCCCTTCTGAATCACGAATGATGTACCTTATCTCTGGGGGGCTGGCCATCCATAAATCCTGGGTAGTTTGGCGGGAAACTATATTCGTCATATTGATTAAAGTTAACAGCCGCATGTTGCACGCTGGCTTGAAAAATCAATGGCGTCACTATACTTGAGATGTCATTAACTGTCGCTATGGTTTCAGGCAACCCCTGAAAATAAAACCATATACAAATAAGACGGATGTGGTTATCAGGGGGATCATGAGATGGTGTCGTTGATGAACAAGCATGCAAACATGCGATGACCTTCTTCCGATCTATGATTCTTAAAACATGATGACCTACTTTCAATCCATGTTTCTTATAACTCGATGACCTACTTTCAATCCACGATTTATAAAACACGATGACCTACTTTCAATCCACGATTTTTAAAACATGATGACCTACTTTCAATCCATGATTTTTAAAACACGATGACCTACTTTCAATCCACGATTTTTAAAACATGATGACCTACTTTTAGCCCAGGACCAACGGGGGGCGTCTTCAATTCATAAACCCATTTATGCAGCTCGTAGTCCTCAATGATCTTTTCCGGAGAGTCATATATACCAGCTACGACTGCCTTGACATATTTCTCTATGGCTCCATACACGAGAAGAGCGTCATCCCGGTAGTGATAGTTGGGAAGGGCGTTTACGTCATCCACCTTTAAAATAAATGACGATTGAGAAAATAAGATCGTTTGATGTTACCATGTACGTTCAATTGAATCTATTTTTGTCAATCTTGAAAAATGGTTTCTTTGGCATCTTCCAATTCTAATCTGGTTATGAATATATAAAATTCAGCCACGGACTGTAGATATAGTATAGGAATATCCAAGATATTGATATCAATGAGTGGATATAGTTGATATTTTTGAAAAACCATAGGATTGTCTACCCTGCGTGCAGAATAGCTAGTTAAACTACGAAGCTCTCTTTTAAGAAGTGAAGTCAAACGAATGCAAAGGGTAAGGATTGTCCGTTTATCCATGAAATTTTTTTTGAAGAAAAAATATTTTGAAGACCATCGAATATCAGTTTTCGAGAAGTGACATTCGATGGTTTGGGAATTTTTGCTAAAATATGATATCTTGATCCACATATCAAATATATCTTCACATGATATTCGATCTATATTCTTGTAACCATGGGATAAATAACTGTATTCTAAGACTAAATAATGCTTCAGTTGTATATAATTTAAATGAACTAAATTAAAATCAAAAATATGCATAACTTATATGGATGTGAATGACTCGGTGATGATAAGATCAACAATACTTTAGTTGATCCTTGTTCAGATTTGAATTAAATTGGATGGACCAAAATTGCGAACACGAACTAAGCGTATCTGTTATAGTCCCTAGCCTGCTCGTTGTCCGGTACTCCGCCACAAAGAATGAACAAACCGTATGAAAGAACTGACTTCCCTTGTTAAGAATATATATATTTGCCTCTAAAATGGAGATTGCCTTCTAAAAACAAGTTTTTGTATATATTTTTTCTACTTTTTACTACATAATATTATTTGATCAATTTTAAAGTATGATATCGATTTTTTTTATAAAAATTGAGAACTTCTGATTAACAAGAAAGTACAGAATTTGAAAAATGTAAAAATATGGTTCCCACAGGATGCAAACGTCTACAATAGCAAAAAATCTACACGGTACAATATTTCTGTGTTAATACATTTTGAGTAATAAAAAACGACACTGTACAATGCTTGAAAATGAGTAATGTGACATGTATAGTGGGTGCAGGGTGACAAAAAAAGTTTGATAAATAAATATCTAAGATGGCTTAGGAATATGATAATATCCCCAAAATTAAGTCAATGGTGCATAGCTCCATGTTAAGTCAAAACATCCTTGCTCAAATCCTCATTTTCTAAGTATAGCCCCTGTTACCGGATAACGTAACATAGCCACGTGTAGAGCATAGCAGTAGTTGTTTTTTTTGTGGCTGACATCCGGACAAGAAACTCCTTAAAGCTAAAGCTCTTGGGAAAACCAGATCAGGGACAATGACACTGTACGTTTTCGATGGTAAGCCTTGGACGATGTTAATTAATAAATTTATTACCATTTTATATTCATAGGACAGCCGGTATTAGACTAAGATATCATGCCATTTACCCCTCTATTCTTTAGGTCATTGGGCAATGTTCCCTCCCGAGTCAGATTCCAATTTGCCCAGACACGGCCGACGACACCATTCACCCTATCAGACCCCAGAGAAAACGTCTTGTCAAAAATGCCTCCAGGGTTTATCAGAGTTTTGAGGGCAAAGCTTCCGAGTAAAAAGAACATAATTATAAGGTGACACGGTCGTTGAATAAAGGTGTACAAAACCAATGAATCAGACTGCACGATGCTAGATTAGTATGACTATCGTAATAGAGTGAATTGTGTATTGCTCTTTTTCTGATTTTAATCAACGTAACTAGAAAAAACTGACAAACTTGTTACTCACTTGTTTATTGCTATAACTTTAAATAAATGTGGAGCCAGTAAACGGAACAGCGGGTGTGACGGAGACAATTGACGGTTAGTAACCACGGCAACAAATTCCATCAAAAAGTGAGTTAATCCTGAAATTAGAATTCTTTACTGTTGGGTGGTTGTTTGGTTCAAACAGGAAAACACAACATGGGGTCTGAGTTCTTTGAATATGTGTGTCCATTACCTTTTTGAATCACAAATCAATAGACTTCTTTTAACTTGCCTTTATAGTCTGGCAGAAACTTCAAAGCTAATCGTTTTCTTCGGATTACGATGTTTTTTTAACTTATCAGCATATATATAGGATTGGGACCTCAAAACCATTAGATGCCGGAGCGGCACCCTTGGGCAACCCTCTACAGAGTATTTCTTATACCCCCCTGATAAAATATACAGGGGGTACTATAAGACACCCTCATATCTCAGACACTAATAAATATGTTTACTTGAAATTTTCGGTAATTAGTTTAAGTATGATGCTTGACACGTGTGACAAAAATCAAGAAAAAATCTTAATCCGTTGCTATAGCAACAGAAATGGAACACTACTTGTTACCGTAGAAATGCACGATTTTGCTGATTTTCATATTCATATTCTTTTCATATTCTTGATTCTTAAAGCATCTGAAGTATATACTTTTCTATTATATACATGATTAGAAGTAAAGATGAAATAATTCATCATATGGTTTATGTAATATATCTAACATTTCAGTAGCTATGGTAACATCACTTGATAATCAGGTTTTTACATTTCACTTTCTTTAAAAAGGTGGTCCAAAATAACATTTCTTGAAAAGGTTATGCTCCCTAGGTAAAAGAAAGTGCTGCTTTAGAGATAAATAATCACATGGATTTGATAAAAAAAATGATAATTTAATTTTACCCCATCTCAACAGCCACCAAATTTGATGATTTGGGTGAAACTGGCAAAATACATTTAATTTTCTAGGTTGAAATAAAAAATTCCCCCAGTGGCCCCCAGGCGCTATACCATGGACCCCAGTGGCCCCCAGAAGCTATACAGGGGCCCCCAGTGGCCTCCAGAAGCTAAATGGTGGCTTCCAGAAGCTGAATGGTGGTCTCCGGTAGCCACAGAAGCTATACAGGAGCCCCCAGTGGCCCCAAGAAGCTATTAGGTGGCCCCAAGAAGCTATACAGGGACACCTAGTAGCCCCCAGAAGCTGTGTGGTAGCCCCCAGAAGCTATACAGGGGCTCCAAATGGCCCCTAGAAGCTATATGGTTACCCTCAGAAGATAATATAGGGGCCCCTAGAAGCTATACAGGGGCCCCCAGAAGCTATTTGATGGCCCCCAGTGGCCCCAGAAACTCTACGGTGGTTCCCAATGGCCCCCAGAAGCTATACAGGGGCCCCCAGAATCTATACAGTGGCCCCTAGTGCCCCCCTGAAGCTATACCGTAGCCCCAGAAAGCTATATGATGGCCCCCAGAACCATATACAGGCTATGTGTAGCTTTACAGTGGCCCCCAAAAGCTATACAGGGGCTCCTAGTGGCCCCATGAAGCTATATGGTAGGTCCCATCAGCTATATGGTGGCACCCAGAAGCTATACGGTGGCCCCCAATAGCCGCCAGAAGCTATAGGATGGCATCCAGTGTCCCCCAGAAGCTATATGGTGGCCCCCAGTGGCTCGAAGAAGCTTCACAGTGGCCCCCAAAGACTATACAGGGGCTCCTAGTAGCCCCAAGAAGCTATATGGTAGGCCCCAGAAGCTATATGATGGCACCCAGAAGCTATACGGTGGCCTCCAGTAGCCGCCAGAAGCTATAGGATGGCATCCAGTGGCCCCCAGAAGCTATATGGTAGCCCCAAGAAGGTGTACAGTGGCCCCCAGAAGCTATATGGTGGCCCCATAAGCTATATGGTGGCCCCCAAAAGCTATATGTTGGCCTCAAAAACTATATGGTGGCCCCCCAGTATCCAAAAGAAGCTATACATGAGCCCCCAGAAGCTATACAGGGGCCCCTAGTGGCCCAAAAAAGCTATATGGTGGCCTCAGAAGCTATACAGGTGCCCCCAGTGGCCCCCAGAAACCATACGAGGGCCCCCCAGTGGCCCCCCAGAAGTAAGCCCAAATTTTCACTGACAAAAAAATCATGATGTTGTCAATCAAATATTAAACCATTAAATTTCACTGTTAGAGAAAATATCCAATTGAATTCAATGTTAAATCAAATATTCACAGTGCCTTTAAATGCTATACGATGGTCCCCAGTGGCCCCCAGAAGCTATACAGTACCCCCCCCCAGTAGTCTGATTGCTCAGATGAGGAAAGCCATTGCTTATAAAATTTAGACATTAAGCAAAAATCTAGACTATGCCAACCTCTCTCTACTATATGATTACATTAGATTTCATTATGATGCATGTTCTAAATGCCAAAATCTAAACTATATGCCAACCTCACTACTGTATGAATCCATTAGATTTCATTTGATATACATGTATATACCAAATATAAAATATGCAGTGTTCTTAATATAATAGTGTAATACTATATACTAGTTTAAGAATCAAGAATATGAAAAAATGTTGAAAATCAGCAAAATAATGCATCTCTACGGTAACAAATAGTGTTCTGTTACTGTTGCTATAGCAACGGATTAAGATTTTTTCTTGATTTTTGTCATACATGTCAAGCATCATACTAAAACGAATTCCTGAAAATTTCAACTTAATATATATATTATTATCTGAGATATGAGGGTGTCTTATAGTACCCCCTGTATATTTTATCAGGGGGGGATATAAGAAATGCTCTGTAGAGAGTTGCCCAAGGGTGCCGCTCCGGCATCCGGTGGTTTTGAGGTCCCAATCATATATTCATGTTGATAAGTTGAAAAAACATTGTAATCCGAAGAAAACGATTGAATGTCAAAATACCCTTTATTTCTGCCAGACTATTATAATGATTGATTCTAAGAGTTGTGTTTCACGTATTTAAACACATAACAGAGAGAATAGAATTATAACTAGACATGTAAATTGAACAAGTTCAATTTAAGACTCCAGATTTCAGACTTTTTTTAAGCTGAGTCATCCAAATACTTGTAAGCTGAGTCATTCAGAATAAGCTGAGTCAGCTAGAATATAGACATTTAGACAACTCTTAAGAATGTTATCTTCAACTCCATTGGCTTAACATGGGGATATCATCATATCGACTTTTCGAGACTTCAAACCGCTATAACTATCTAATCAGAGGTAAGATCGAAATTTGGTTTAAAGATTCTGATTCCTGAGAAAATTCTACCCTTAATTCATAACTCATAAATTAAAGGATGAGTCTGGGAATGAGTCTGGGTATCGACTTAGAAAATATTGAAAATTGTAATGTCTGAAAAACCAACTCAATCACACATATTATTAAACTTCAATATCTTATCCTTCTTCTGAGATTACTAAAATATCAATTTGTATCACAATTAATGAAGAATATTGGCATCAAAGACAGTGCATATCACTTTGTCAGAATTGAAAAAAAATCAATGGCAAATATTAAATGAATTATTTATACAAAAAGTTTGAAACATATCCTCCAAAAAATTGCTTATTTTCTTTGTATAGACATTGAATGGTATTTCTGGATAAGTGAATTTGTGTTTATCTGGGTAATCAAGGGATTATAGTCACTCAAAGTTACCGAGCATCCAGTTTTGAGACTTCAATTGTGTTGGTGAAGTTACACATATTTCAGTCAAATTCATGCTGAGCACAACATTTTGGTTTCAATTTTATAATCCCTATACATGATCCTGGTGATGAAGAGTCAGATTCAGTCAAAAAACCCAAACCGGAAAACTGTGCTCATTGTGAAAACTAAAAGTGAAGCAACTTTTTTTCTGATGTTTCTTACATCAATTGGCAGCCATCTTGTTTTTCCCCCTTCAAATTAAACTGGCGGGAAATTCAAAAATTTAAAAAAAATGTTAATCCTTAAGTATATTTCAAAAATATTATTTTCTTTTTAATTCTTCATCGGTCTTAAGTTATTTCTTCTTTGTATGTCATACATGTTGCCATTGGTGTTTTTTTTCTATGATAATGACTATTTTTTGTTTGTTAGGCTACTTATTCTGACTCTCAGCAGGGGGCTAATCATGCATCAAAACTCATGAAAAAGTAAATATACTTATCAAATATAACTAGGACAGTAATAAAAACCATATTTCACATACATTTGACTGAGGGACCAAAAGGGCATATACCCAGACACATCCTTTGGAGAACTTTTTATTTTGACCTACTTTTCAGACACCATATCTCAAAAGTGGGTCAAAATACTTTCTGACGGCAGAAGGCTAACACTATAAGCACACTCTTTGCTACCTGTATACAAAATTTCGAAGCAAATCATTAAAGTGTAATGTCAGAATCGCAAAAATAAGGAAAACTATGAATTTGACCTAGATTTTGACCTAGGCATTTTGGTGTCCAAATTTTAAAGCTAGATAGCCTTCGAGGTCCCCTTCTTTTATAGGCTTTCAGAATGTTAAGCTGTACTCAGTTTATATCTGGTATTTTACACTTCAAAAAAATCTTTTTTCTCATTGACATAACATTGGGCACCAAATTTAGCGATTTTTGATCTTTCAAAACGCCATAACTTCCGAACCGAAAGTCGGATTGAAATTTGGTTTTCAGATTCGGATTGCTGGGTAAATTCTACCCTTAATTTATAGCTCATATATTAAATTTGGAGACCTTTTTATTTTGACCTACTTTCCGGACACCATATCTCAAAAGTGGGTCAAAATACTTTCTGACGGCAAAAGGCTAACACTATAAGCATACTTTTTGCTATCTGTATACCAAATTTTAAGGAATATTATTAAAGTGTAGTGTCAGATTCGCAAAATTAAGGAAAAACTCAAACTTTGACCTAGATTTTGACCTTGGCTTTTTAGTGTTCAAATTTTGAGACAAAGTAGATTTTGAGGTCAACTATTCTTGTAGGCTTTCATTATGTTGGCTGCATTAAGTCTAAATACCGTGATTTTCCAATTCATAATTTTCTTCAGCCCCATTGACTTAACATGGGGCACCAAAATAGCGATTTTTGAGACTTCAAACCGCCATAACTTTTGAACCGTAACTCGGATTGAAATTTGGTTTGCAGATTCGGATTCCTGAGAAAATTCTACATATATTTCATAACTCGCACCTTGAATTTTGAGACTTTTTTGTTTTGACCTACTTTTCGGTCGCCATATTTAAAAATCGGTAAAAGTAATCAAAAATCTAATGTCATATCTTTGCTTCGGCTATTTCTTAACTACATAATGAAAAAAAGATGAAGGAGTTCCGATAATTATCGAAGAAGATAGTTCTTGACCTTTGACCTAAATAAAAATTTGACCTAATTTCCCAGAAAGCCAGATACATTCCCTAGTCAACAATGTAGGTTGGATTAAGTAAGATGTTATAGTTGGAGAGAAAATCTGTTAGGAGGAAGAAGAAAGAAAAAAGAATAATAAGAAAACAGGCAAAAACAATAGACTCCAGATTTTCAATCTGGAGTCTAACAATCAAGGCATTAGCATGCAAAATGTCACCACATGCCAAAAACGGAAACCATACCAATATTTCACCACAATTGGCGGTGGCATGAAAATTAAACGATAGGTGTTGAATATTTTGACATACATGAAATATTAGGACTCAGTACCTAAATGAACGCCAGCTTGGTGGTAGGATGCGTCTGCGTTGTTGAACCACATTTTAGCCAACAACCAGGTGTATTCAGGGTCAGACGGCAAGAATATCTGGAAATATAAGCACAGTACTATATATCGTATAATTATTTCCACATTTATTGTTATAACCCACCTTTTGCAGGTTTTGAGATAGGTATACTAGTATATTTCTAAATTGTTCACGATAAATTCATTTCTGAGGTACGGTCCATGTCAATGTATTGTATCTCCTTTATATCCAGTGCCACACTATTGTGAGTGTAAAATGAGGAAAAAGATTTAGGCCCACATTGTCATATCCGTGGGTAGGCAGCAGAGCCAATCAGATTACATAAGTTTGATCATGAGACTAAATAGTTATAACAATGTGGAAATAATGGAACGATCACAAGTTTACTTTGCAGGTAATTAGGGGATCATAATCATATTAATCATGTCACCATACATGTAGTACAAACAAAAGAAAGCAGATTTGGTATTATCCGAAACAAAAACAAAAGTTTATCCAGTGAACTCATATGCTGTATAATTAACTAGATGGACAGAATAATGGTATATGAGTATGGTATAACAATATGGAAGTGAATAAAAGTTCAGTTCCGGGGTTATTTTGATATTTCAAAAACAAGAAACCATAAAAATATGTGTTTTATTTATTGTTCATCAGTGATATTTGCTCTGTTTTTTGAATAACTAGCCATAAAAAAGCAAAAATTTCACATGACCCGGGACACATGATAACCCATACGAAAAAAACAAGTTTTTAAAAATGGAAATAATGGGACGATATGTTGTTCAACATAACATACAGTATGAATCGTGACTGAGGCGATGCTCATATTTCACCTTTTTTTACCTTTGTCAAAAACTGCTTTTTGAATAACTATGCCATAAAAAAGCAAAAATTTCACAAAATCAAGAGTTGATGATCTGTTATGATCTGATATAAAAATCGTATTGTCACTATACTCACAGGGTTAATATCCGAGGTCTCTTGAAATAGTTGAATGGCAACAGGCACCAACTTCAGGTTGTTGTCGACGTAGAATAAACCAAGGGGTGCACACAGCTTCAAAAATTACATAATTACAATGTTGTACACAGTACAGTGTACGTTGATGGTAAGCATTAAATTAAAATCTAGTTCTAGTATTCGATTTCATTATCTATCATTGAATAATTCCTCGCGTATATATCTAATGGAAATAGTCCATGAGCCTATTCATTTAAGATATATATGAGTTCACAATTATTAATGTCATCATTTATATTCTGCTTTTATAATCCCAACCCAAACCGCCATCTGAGGTATAATCAGTTATAAGCTTATAAAATAAAAAATGGCTTTTGAACAATCCCTTATTCACCGGCCAAAAGACCAAAATACAATTTTGATATTTACTATACTGTTCCTTGAACATATAATGCCCTTATACCTATTACAGCCTACAAAAAGAACAACAAGAAATTTTCAACCGTATAATACAGAAGTTTTATTCTTACTGTTCTGTTCTCGGAACATTTAATGCCCTCTAGAATTTTGAGGTCCATTATGTAGATCTTCTTGCTCTCCAGGCAGGCCTCGAGCGTTTGCCCTTCAAGGAATGGCTCAACCATCACCGGTGTTACGGGGAAACTGAAAAGTAAAAAAGTGTACTTAATAGGATCATATGCGAGATAATTATTACTTCAAAGCTGATCTTTTTGGCTTAAATGACCAATACTGCGACTGTGGAGCTCAGAGTTCAGAGCAAACTTTTGTCCTCCCTCTAAGAAACACAACTGTTGACATTCACTGTTGGACATATGTTTGATATTTGCAATTCTAATATTGAGTTTGACTTTTGGAAAATACCTAACGAATTTCAAAATGACCACCATATAAGTTTTAACACATTTTGAAATATCACATATTGGCCTAAAATTCAATTTTTTAAAAAAATAAGTTGAATTTGGCTACATGTTTATCAAATATACATCACCATGTTGTAATGTACCGGTTGCACTCTAATATTTGTTCTGTGTAACCTACTTTTGGGGGATTTCCTGACAAAGACTTATTAATGTTGGGTTACAACCAGTTAATCGCTGGGAACCGAACTCGACATCTTTATGCCATCTCTCCAACCCCTTGAATAATAAACAGATAAAACAACGAAATTCATTTGGCATAATTTTGAAATCAATGGGCATAATTTTGACCGTTTAAATCTTTATATAACAACTTATATTACCCGATTTAGTGCGGAGATTCTTAAGACAAGAGTTGCCAACTGTTTAATGTTATAGTAATGACTTCTTTATAAGGAAGAATTGTTGGTCTCGATTAACTTTATGAGTTTTATTGTACTATATTATTGGTTTAATAAAAAAGTATACGACGAGGCCCGATCAGAAAGTTTCTTACCAAGTGCTCTCATTTTTTTTATTTCTTGAGATTTTAACTTGAAATTTTCACAGGATACAACATTGCTTTTAAGATGACATAAATCATTTATTAATTGAATGAGATTTACAAAAAACAGATGTTTCTGGATTTGAAATTAGCTAAGGTGGAGCAGCTGTCACTGTCTGTAATAAGGGGGGTTTCACGCCATTCTTTGATACCCGTATGGGTCATAATGGAGAGTCTACATGCCTTCAACATAATCTCCAGCTAATGAGATACACTTCCTGCTATGCATCTAGTGACACGATCTCTGAATTCATGCAGACGATTTTCATTGGAATCAGATACTCTATAGAGGCTACTATTGAAGACTTCAGTTATTGATTCATTGTCCTCAAATTTCAATCCACGGAGAGGCATTTCCACTTAATCACATGCTGCAAAATCCGGTGAATAAGGAGATTGGGAGAGTCTTTCTGTCACTGGAAGATAGTTTTCTATTGTGTTATAAGTGATGTTTGCCCTATGGGCAGGTGCATTATCACCATGGAAGACTGGTCGAAATCTGGTCCATAGAACGAATGGCTCCGCCATCTTCGTGGGGGGCCTTCGTAAAAATTAATCAATCACCCATGAACAAGATGGCTGTCATTCAAAGTAGTGGGCATAACATGCTATGACTAGAATATTATGGCATCACATAAGCAGTGTTACCATAGCAACAATTTAGTTGAACACATTGGACAAAACTATACAAAAAGTGATGATACAAGTGTTATGTGATTGCTAAAAGAGATAAAGCAGGTTAGGCTCCGCTATAAAAAACAGCTTCTCCACCCTTCCTTGAATTTGGCAACCTTATAGTCAACAGTAAACATTGATTACCCAGAATAATATGCGTAAACTAAAGGTAAATGGTGTATGTATATTTTGTAAAAAATTCAGGTTAAAATGTCAAAAAAGAAAAAATGAGAGCATTTGGTAAGAAACTTTCTAATCGGGCCTCGTATACTATATTCTTTGCAAAAGAAAACAAAATATTGACTCACGTAAGGTCTCTTAAAGATATATCCATAGATATTTTGAAAATCCTCGAGAGTTTCAAATTTGGATGTTGTAAACTTTGCAAGTTTAGTCGGAAAACCAATCATCTTTGCCTTCTGTTTTAGATCAAGCTGAAATTTTATCATAATAGATGATACATGACCCTTGTAACAGTAATGTTTTTCATGCCCATTTCTTTCCCGAATTCATAAATTGACGATGTAAAATACTTTTTTCAAAATGAACCTTATGATTACATTATTAAAGGTCCAGTTCAAAAAACGTTCATCATTCAATTATAATTTCCTGTGGCTTGAAAGCTGGAAAAGTTGCCCCAGTCCTTTTTTATTTTTTAATACTAAAATTATATTAATGATAATATAACAATATGAATTGATTACAATAAGCTCAATTAAATCTTATATATAGAATTAAAAATATTGTATATGGATTGAATTACCGTAAGTGACTATACCTGGTATTCCTCAATTGTGAATGCTTCATCACTTGGCAGATCTGCTGCCTAAATTCAAATATCAACTCATTCATATATTTTTAGAGCATATTAAAGATTTGTTTCAGATTCTTCCAAGAAAGTTATATACATTTCCCGATTATTGAATTGGAAAAACGAAATTACATTAAAGAATAAACCTACGTTAATAAACCTACGTTATCTAATTGGCATTTCGAGCTTATTGTATTGCATTGTATTGTTTTGTATTGTTTTGTTTCGTTTCGTTTTGTGTTATATTGTTTTCTGTTGTACTTAAGAAATATAGACCAAAGAGCAGGTGTTATATCGACGATTAATTAATAAGCCAGGGATATACAAATGGATATTTGAATTGACACAAAACTGGTGGTGAACTGTACCAGGGCTGGAAGACCTTCCCTATGAACTTTCAGCCGATATTTTCCTTGTTTTGTTTCAAGTTCCTGTCTCCGCTGTTCTTTGTTTTTATCAAATTGCGGCAATACGCTGTCAAACTCCTGTAGCTTGAGTTGCTGGTTTGCAACTACCCAGCGATTTATCGGGAATATACTCTTGTCTTTATCCCTGCAACGTTCCACCACAACCGTCTCGACATACCTAACAAAAATGTTGACAAAACAAACAACCGTTTCGACAAACATAAAGTAGAAAACTAAAATGAGAAAAAGTCAGGTAGATAATAGGAATTGTAAAAACGTGATAAGAAACGCTATATGAAAGCTAACCAATCAACATGTTCTTTACTCAATCGATCTAACCTCTAAAATCTATCAAAATGACGTTTCGATATAAATATAATGTACTATAAAAATTTGATAGATGCAGGATATATGTATGTAAAAGATTTCTTTAATGAAGAAGGTAATATTATAGATGAAAGACATGTACTACGAAGACTTAAAAATAGTAGGAATTGGATGATAGAATATATGAAAATCAAAATGGCTAACATGTAACACACCTAGAAAGGAAACACATGAAATTTACAAATATAATTTATACAAATCTCTTTCTGTATAAAGAGGGTGGCTTTACTTTAGTCAAACTTCTTTTATAAGATTTTAACAAATGAAAAATTTGTAAAACCAATAGCAGAAAAGTATTGGAAAGAAATGTTTAATCAAGATATTAGCCAATCATATCCCAGGAAGATCTATGAATTTAAAATCAAAAACATTGACTGCCAAAAATTGTCTGAATTCAATTTTAAAACTTTACATAATATTCTACCTTGTGGTAAGCTTGTAAGTAAGTGGAACGGAAATGTTTCTAAAAATGTATTGAATGTAAAGTTGATCAAGATATCGAACATTTGATTTTTAACTGTAAAATTGTAAAACATATTTGGGTCATCTTGGAAAAGTTTTTTAAGTGTAACATCACCTGGAAGATACTTCTTTTAGGATACCAGAGTAATAGCAATGTTTTGAAATATAGAACTCTTGTAATTACAATAGTTATGAGATGTATTCATAACCTCTGGTTGAAAAACTCTGAAGATCCAGAATCTTATAAAAAGTCATGTTTTAAATCAAAGATAGCAGTATACAGTGTATTTAGAATCATATAAGAACATTTTTCATTATCAGAAAAAATTGGAAATTTGTAACTCCTTACAAAGTAGTGAATTTCTACAATAACCTGTTTTATGTTATTATATCCTTTTATATTAAATGTAAATGTACGTATGTGTAAATGTATTTTGTAACTTGTATATATGGTGAATAAATAATTTTATAAAAAAAGACGTTTCGATTAAAGAATTTTTGTGCATTAAAAGTTGACCTTATTGTAATTGTTGACCTTATGTAAAGGTTTATTTCACTTTGTAGTTCAGATACTTAATTAAACTAATTTATTTACCAGGTATCTTCAGCGTCGTTGTCATCCCTCCAAAGTCTTATTTGGTTGACGTGCTCGAGATCTTGGCGACCACTCTTAACGGAATAACACCCTTTTTGACCCGCCTCAAAGTCATCACGCCACCAAATGTCAAGATGTATGACTTGCGACTCCCTCTCGTTTATATCAATCAGTGAAATATATACCTAAAAGTGATAAACAGCCAATCCATACAACTAATCAATCAGAATATGTCAATGTGTCCCCATGTCTTACTATTGAAAATGGATCCTAGTAATACTATTTCACATGAATCTACTTGTTGAGATTCGATCAACTTGAGTCTTCCGAGAAAATGAGGAATTCAGCAAGGGTGCATTGATTTATAGTGGGGATGCAATTGCCTTTATCCTGTAGATATGCAGGATGAAGTCAGTTGCATCCCCATGTTAAATCAATGCACCCTTGCTGAATTCCTCATTTTCTCGGAAGTACTCAAGTTGACGAGTCTCAATAAGTAGATTCATATTGAATACAATGGCTAGAATCCACTTTCGATATTGAGAATAGGATTTATTAAACATGACATTGGGGTTGCTTTTTAGAACTTTATGTTGCCTCTTACACTGTGCAGTGTGTGTCAAGTAACATTTTGGTAAAAAATTTTCTGGTACAAAATTAAGTATGAAGGCATGTGTGTATTTCCTTGCTTTTTTCAGAAAAGTATCATTACACTGTCTACTTTTAGTAAACCTGGAAACAGGTCAATGGTAGCTCCTGTGTTGTCTGGAAACTGTGTTGCTGACCTCCCTGACCTCCAGCAGTGACAATTTCTGTATTAACCAACCAAATCAGTTTCAGCTTGCCAGGCAATTGCAGATATCCATAGTTGTTGTTTTATATGCAGTATTATATGCAGTTTTTAGATAAAGATTTGAAAAAAAACAATGATATAAGTTTGAAAAACACTTTGAAGAAGATTTTGGAGAGATTTGGCAATACAATTTGATACCAGTAAGGAGAACTAGTGCCAAGACTAAAAATTTTGAAAAATGTTCAATCTTACTTGTGGACCTGTCTCTTCTATATACGGCTTACTATTACTTTACCCTTGGCCTATGATTCTATCTTAATTTTGATCGATTCTGGAATCTCTCAAAACAACATAATGTATTCATTTGAAATTCTAATTCTTACATTTCCATCTGTCCCCGCTCCTCTCTTATTTCCAGTCTTCACATGTACTGTATACTCAGCCATCTTTCTTATTTCGAAAAGTTTCGTTTGCCTTTATTTCTGCTTATTTCAAATCAAACAGTTTCTATTATAGATTTCTTTTCAAATACTTTTCACGTAGAGCGATTTGCAATACATTTTATAGTACGCTGTTTAACAATACGTGTGCCAAGTAGATTTTTCCACTCTAAGGGAGCATTTCAAAAGATCAATGTCAGAAAATTAATTCTATTTGCACAGTTAGGGAGGGAGGGGGTTCATAACCTTTAAAGCTAGGTTACCAACATTGAATAACTATAATTATGATATATATATTTTTATGTATCATACAGTGTTTTGTGGGACGACCGCATCGTTTGCCATTTATGAATAATGAATATTAAGTAGGTGGATCCTGAATCACGTGGTTGCCTGCGGTCCCAGACCTAAGTAACGTAGATTGGGGTCAGTTGCATTCTTAGCCAGCACATAGCGAGCAACAGTTATTTTACGTTATATATATTCAACTCACTGAAGTATTACTATTTTCATTATAATTATTTGAAATGTACTGTACACTTTATTAACATCTTATTATTTCGTGTTATAAATGTTCCCAGAGTGGGTGTCCTATTAAATGATTTTGATGTTCTGCTTTATTTAGTTCCTTTGAGATGTTCAGTTATTGATGACTTAATGGAACTACATCTTGATTTGACATCTTTAGTGACATGATTCAATCCGAATGAAGAGATCCGAATGAATGTTTATTAGTTTCAGAATGTTCTTGAGGTCAAGGGTTAATGAGTCATTCAGATCAGTTTTGTTTACAAGATATAATAGCATTGCGACCTTGACCTAAGATCTCTAATAAAGATCATTAAAAGTCTATGTATATTGTTAAACTAAACTTAATGTGAATATAATAGACTTTTTATGGTACTCTAACAGTATGACCAACAAAATCAACATTTCCCAAACACAGTTATGAGGGGGAGGGAGGGGGGTCACAGATTAACTGTGCAAATACAGTTAATAATCCAACATTCAACTTTTGAGATGCTCCCTAAACGTTAAGATGTATTGGCTTATGAATTGGCAATATGCCTTCATTATCCAACTGACTGTAACAAGAGTGTGTTGAACGATAAGGCTATAGTATAATGCATGCCTCTTAAAATGCACTTATTGACAGCATGTTGCACTATCACTGGTCCCCACCTGGTTATAAAGACGTTACGTCTTTATAACAAAATGGTTGAAATTCCGTCTGAGGACATTTTTATTCTCATCATTTTCACCAAGAGGGAGGTTGCTTATTATGCTTAATAAAGCTATTCTCATGAGTAAATATATCCAGTAGCTCCACCAATCGAGTGAATATTCCTCACCTCAGCAACCAGGACTGGTGAATTTAATTACATCTTGGTAGCTTTGTGTTATGTCCTAAAACGTCCTGGTTGCTGAAGTGAGATTTGTTGTTGCAAACTACTACGAAGGCTGAACCAAAGTGGAAATAAACATATTAGTTTCACATTCGCACGCATTCCAATAGCCAAATGAATATTTTTGATAGATTGAACTTCACAAAAAGAAATTCTCGAGGAAAGAGCACTGCAATATTATTCATTACATATTCAAAGAATTGATTGAAATATATTTGTATATCTTGGCCTTACAGCATTACATTCGAGTCGAAAAGTTTTAATCCCCAAACACTGGCAATGTTTGCTGTTGTATAGCTTACGTGCTTTCAGTAGCGTTTCAGCTCGACTGATTCCGCACTCAATTGCAAGTGATAAATAATATACCCTTTTCAAAATTGATGAGAATAGCCTCAATCATGCAATAATTGGCTCAACATAAGAGTAAATAACTCGAATTTGAAAGCCAGGGTTTCATTTTTATCTACAAACTCGTATTTCGCGGCAAATTGTTCCAATCACACACGTCATGTCACGTGACGTAAAATTTCTGCTCTGAAAAGGAAACCGGTTTCAGGGTTTTGCCTTGAAAACAGACAGGTGCTGACTTTATATCCCCGATATCATGATGATAAAATGAATTTTTGGAATTGTTGATGGTGCACCATCGTATAGTGTGGCTTTAATACGGTAAGCTAGCATAAATGTCTCTAAATCGAGTGAAATGGTTTGAGTAGAACTTTAAATTTCAAGTGGTTGATAAGCTCAGGTTGTCTTGGTTACATTATGTAAACCAACCACTATAAAGAACAATAAACGTATCTTATCTATCGTCTTGCTATTCAAGATTTTGTACCAACAAAAATTTGAATAGGCCTATACTAATTGTCACAAAAATATTTTCTTATTCGATGTAAATTAGGGTATTCTATGACTATCTCATCTTCAAGATGATGGCTAAATTTCAAAATGATCGCCATTTTTCGTAATAGCAGAAATCTGTAGATCCCGGCTATGGCATTATTAATGGTTGAGAAATAGGGATCGAAACCAGCCGTAGTTTTCTCCCGATGACCATTGTGACTTTTATGGATTTTGACGTCTCTGCGAATTGATGTTTACCCTTCGAATTACCTAATGTACTTCGAGACTGGATTTCGTCTATCCCACATCATTTGTGACTAAATGCTTTATCTTTTACGAGCACTAGTATCTACAACTATTGTTGATGTTATGAGCATTGGCTATCAACTTTTCAACTTTGTAATGTAGTATGACTGAAATGTCTGTTGGTGTTCTGTTCCTGGACTGATATTGGTTCTCGATTGGAGGGTGGAAGGGGGATGTTGGATTTTGTTTCTTTTCTCGTAAGATCATGATTTTGGGATATATAGGATCAGTTTTATGACATGTTTACACCTAGAGTTTGCCTTTCTTGCTGGGTTTCTTTACAGTTTTTGGTATTTTACTTTTGGCATTTGTGCTTCGATATTTTGATCACTCAAATTCCAAATGTTATACGTTGATGCCAAGGGACAAATGAGCTCTACTATTTTTAGATAAGATGGCCGAAATTCAAAACTATTTTCGTAATCTCTGATACCTCATGTCCACTCTTTATCGAATTACATATTGTTCAGTGGGATTTGCTACTCCTTGAAGTTGTTGTTTTTCTATTTCATAAAATTTATTGTAAAATGCATTTAAACTCGTGCTTGTGATAATTTTTAATAGCTAATCTGTGTTAAGTTTGCAAGAGACCCAGTGCTCGAACATAATCTAATAAAATATCTATCCACCCGTTCCTTAAGTTTTAAAATCCTAAATTACAAAAGGTCGAAAATGGACAAAAATCAATTTGTCATAACCATCATGGACAGCCTTCAACAAGTTGTTTGAAAAGGGGATTTCCCGTTTTCATACATTGGTGGGGTGTATATCAATTTATGCTTTAGTGTCATATTTACAAGTGATGTAAGTCCTTAAATGCGCCAATTGTTCACATGATCTGATGCGAGGTTGTACATGTGCGTTCCTGTACGTTCCACGACCAGAGTTAAATACTTATAGCATTAGGTATTTTGGCTGGATTTAGATGTGGATAAACATCCCCTCTGGCCCCCTGTTTCGCTAGTATCACTCTGTCAATTTCTGCAAGATCCTTGCGGAAACTGAAAAGATAAATATATAATCTGATGCAAGGTTCTGAGTTAAGCGTTCGCATTTCTGATTTATTTCCTTAAATATTCATGCTTTCACGATATTTTCGTTTTTATGTTCCCGCTACCGTTACTATATACCCCCTCCCCCACCCCTATACCGTTTGCCTATTATCAAGCAATACCGTATGTACTGATATATACCTCTCAAGAGCCCGCAGTGTGACATGATCGTACGCATATTGTTCTTCAAACTCTCCCAAAGGGTTTGTGTCCATTGTACTCAGTATAGTAGTAAGTGCCATTATATCATATGTCTGTTCTTTTGTGGCAAGATCTCTTACAACATCTTTCTCCGATAGTGCCCACTGAAATAATTAAAACAAGGCATTAGCAATGTCACCACATGTCACACCAACGAACACTGTCTTCAAAACAGTTGGAGACTATAACAAAATGTCACCACTTATGGTGGTGACATATTAGAAAATTGAAGACCAATGTCTTTTTCGTTTCAAATTGGACGATGTTTTCAAACTTTGCATGGGGCCTTTAGAGCTTCTTCTTTTCTTGTTTCAAAGTCATCGTTATTGCACTCCCCATGAACGCTTGACTCCTGCTGTACCTTATCTCTGGGGGGATTGCCATCCATAAATCCTGGGTAGTTTGGCGGGAAACCATATTCTTCATATTGATTAAAGTTAACAGCTGCATGTTGCACGCTGGCTTGAAAGATCAATGGCGTCACTATACTTGAGATGTCCTCAACTGTCGCTATGGTTTCAGGCAAACCCTGAAAATAAAACCATATGAAAAGAATAGCCTAGAATACAAAATAAGACGGATGTTGTTATCAAGGGGATTATGAGATGGCGTCGTTGATGAACAAACATGCAAACATACGATGACCTACTTCCAATCCATGATTCTTAAAATACGACGACCTCCTGTCAATCCATGATTCTTAAAACATGATGACCTACTTTCAATCCATGTTTGTTATAACGCGATGATCTACTTTCAATCCACGATTCTTAAAACACGATGACCTACTTTCAATCCATGATTCTTAAAACATGATGACCTACTTTTAGCCCAGGACCAACGGGGGGTGTCTTCAATTCATAAACCCATTTATGCAACTCGTAGTCACCGGTGATTTTTTCTGGGGAGTCATATGTACCAGATACGACTGCCTTGACATATTTCTCTATGGCTCCATACACGAGAAGAGCGTCGTCCCGGTAGTGGTAGTTGGGAAGGGCGTTTACGTCATCCACCTTAAAAATAAATGACGATCGAGAAAATAAGATCGTTTGATGTTACCAATTTTGATTCATTTTTGATTGTCAATTTTGAGAATTTGTTTTTGTGGCATCTTCCAATTCTAAATCTGGTTATGAATATATAAAATTCAGCCACAGACTGGAGATATATTATAGGAATATCCTATGGTTTTGAAAAAATATCATTTATATTCATGAGTGGATATTGATATCTTCACGAGTCAGCGCAGCGAATGAGTGAAGATATTGATATCCATAAGTGGATATAATTGATATTTTTGAAAAACCATAGGATTGTCCGTTATCCGTGGGAAATTATTATCCAGCGAGAAAAAATTTTGAAAAAAAATTGAAAATATCTTTAGAAGAAAAAAACATTTTGAAGAAAAAAATCTAAAATATTTTTGAGAAAAAATCGAAACCATCGAATATCACTTTTGAAACCATCGAATATCACTTTTCGAGATGTGATATTCGATGGTTTGGGGATTTTTTGCTAAAATATGATATCTTGATCCACATATCAAATATATCTTTACATGATATTCAATCATATTCTTGTAACCATGGGGTAAATTACAGTATGCTAAGACTAAATAATGCTTCTATTGTATATAATTTAAATGAACTAGATTAAAATCAAAAAATGCATTAAACTTATATGGATGTGAATGACTCGGTGATGATTAGATCAGGTGATAAGGTGCAGGATGACAAAAATGTTAGGTAAATAAATATCTATGATGGCTTAGGAATATGATGATGTCCCTATATGAAATCAATGGTGCATAGCTCCATGTTAAGTCAATACATTTTTGCTCAAATCCTCATTTTCTAAGTCAAGGCCCTGTTAACGGAAAATGTAACATAGCTTTATTGTGTAGAGCATATCAGTAGTTGGTTTTTGTGGCTGACACCCGGACAACAATCTCCTTATCTAGAGCTCTTAGGAAAATCAGATCAGGGACTATTACGCTGTACTTTTTCGATGGTAAGCCGTGGACGATGTTAATTAATAAATCTATTATTCGATTTTATATTCATAGGACAGCCGGTATTAGACTAAGATATCATGCCATTTACCCCTCTATTCTTTAGGTCGTTGGGCAACGTTCCCTCCCGAGTCAGATTCCAATTTGCCCAGGCATGGCCGACGACACCATTCACCCCATCGGTCCCCAGAGACATCGTCCTGTCAAAAATGCCTCCAGGGTTTATCAGTTTTTTGAGGGCAAAGCTTCCGAGTAAAAAGAACATAATTATAAGATCTTCATTATAAGGTGACACGGTCGTTGAATAAAGGTGTACACAACCAATGAATAAGACGGCACGATACTAGATTAGTATGACTATCGCAATAGAGTATTGCTCTTTTTCTGATGTAAATCATCGTAACTAGAAAAAACAAGATGTGTTATACAAACCGACAAATACTGTTACTCACTTGTTTATTGCTATAACTTCAAAAAAATGTGGAGCCAGTAAACGGAACAGCGGGTGTGAGGGAGACAATTGACGGTTGGTTACCACGGCAACAAACTCCATCAAAAAGTGAGTTAATCCTGAAATTAGAATTTCTTCACTGTTGGTTGGTTAAAACATATATGTTCGGGAGAACGCAATACAGAGCCTGATATAGCCAGACCTTTCAGACCCAGTTATCTACTTCTTACGGCTTAGATTTGAAGAGAAGATAACTTGGCCAGACGGTTTATTGTTAGATCCGAGAATACATGAATATCTGTGTCCATAACCTTTTGAAACAGAAATCAATTAGATTTCTTAACTTGTCTAGATAGTAAGTGATTCTAGGACTTATGTTTCGCGAGAATACACAAACAAATAAAACTGTAGGTCGAGAATTTTGGCATACATGAAAAAAGAATGCAGTACCTAAATGAACGCCAGCTTCGTGGTAGGAGGCATCTGCGTTATTGAACCACATTTTAGCCACCAACCAGGTGTATTCAGGGTCAGACGGCAAGAATATCTGGAAATATGAGTATAATACTGTGTGTTAGTATGTTATTCAATGTTGAACCACATTTTAGCCACCAACCAGGTGTATTCAGGGTCAGACGGCAAGAATATCTGGAAATATGAGTATAATACTGTGTGTTAGTATGTTATTCAATGTTGAACCACATTTTAGCCACCAACCAGGTGTATTCAGGGTCAGACGGCAAGAATATCTGGAATTATGAGTATAATACTGTGTGTTAGTATGTTATTCAATGTTGAACCACATTTTAGCCACCAACCAGGTGTATTCAGGGTCAGACGGCAAGAATATCTGGAATTATGAGTATAATACTATACTAGTATGTTATTCAATGTTGAACCACATTTTAGCCACCAACCAGGTGTATTCAGGGTCAGACGGCAAGAATATCTGGAAATATGAGTATAATACTGTGTGTTAGTATGTTATTCAATGTTGAACCACATTTTAGCCACCAACCAGGTGTATTCAGGGTCAGACGGCAAGAATATCTGGAATTATGAGTATAATACTGTATCAGTATGTTATTCAATCTACCCTATGAATCATGACCGAAGAAATGCTCATATTTCATAAATGTTTCATCTTTACAATTTGTCCAAAAACTGCATTTTCATTAATTATGTCATTACATAACCTTGAAATTGTAAAATTGACGGGCAGAAATTTCACAAATTTCACAGAATCAATAGAGGAGGGGCATGTTTGTGAGCCCCAAAAAATATTTGACCCCATTTCCTGCTAGGCCCATTTCTGCCCCCATATCCGTAACTATTATACTGTTTTCTGTTTGGTCATAAATGATACTGAATGCATAGTTATGTGCAATAAATATAGTTATGCGTATTGAGTTTATAAAAATAAGTGCGCTGTGCTTACTTAGTTTGATGATCCAATATGATAATCTTATTGACATTATACTCACAGGGTTCATATCAGAGGGTTGTTGAAATAGTTGGATGGCAATAGGGACCAACTTCAGCTTCTTGTTGACGTAAAATAAACCCAAGGGCACACATAGCTTCAAAAGAAAGTTCATAATTATAAGCTGCAGGACAATAGTCCATTATTTAAAATATGTGAGTTAACGTTTAGTACTGCCATCATTCAATTTTATGATCCCACCTAAACATACATCTGAGGGATAACCGGTTTTATCCCATACTTGGACGTGTTACAGGTTCATAAAGCCGGTTTGTAAAAACTTATATTTTCATCAGCGGGCAGATATAGCTTTACGTCCCGCTCCGAGCGGGCAGATATAGTATATCTGCCCGCTACGTCATAATCGCCGTTCCCATATTGGTTCATTCTTTGTAACGTTCGCATACTGTAAACGACAATGGAGAAAAACGCAGACAATCGCGATCTGTTTGATGCTTTAAAGAAGGGAAGGAGCAGTATGTCCTGTTCATAATCAAAGATTCGTACAGGAAATCCGGCTACGGACTAGAATACAAAACTGGACATGAATATTCTAAAATAATTCCACGGTTGGTTGCAAAGTTTCTGAACTGTGGCCAATTGAACGATGTGAACAAAATGACCAAGATTGGTATGGGATAAACAGATCATCCTATAGTCGGTTCAGGATATTGGGATTATCCCTTGGCCAATATAATATATATACCCTCGGGACCTACGGCCCTCGGGCAGATATATTATATTGGCCTCGGGATAATCCCAATATCCTGAACCTCATATAGGATAATCTCTATATATAAATAAAATGACGTTGAATAACCCCTTATTCACCTGCCAAAAGACCAAGACATAGAAGTTTGATTTAGACTACAGATGACTTTCTGTTTTCTGAACATTTAATGTCATTTAGACTTTTGACAATCCTACACTCAACTGTACAATACAGAGGTTTCGTATCTTACTCTTCTATCCTCGGAACATTTAATGCCCTCTAGAATTTTGAGGTCCACAATGTAGATCTTCTTGTTTTTCAGGCAGGCCTGGAGAGTTTGTCCTTCAAGGAATGGCTCAACCATCACCGGTGTAACAGGGAAACTGAAGAGTAATGTACAATTAATTACAATGTACATGTCATGAGCTGTATATATATTATGAATAGTGTAGACAACACTGGTCAGTATAAAGCGAAGATAACGGCCGTTACCTTCGCATTTAAGATGGCGGATGGTAATTGTCTATTTTGATATTTTAGTTTTCATCGAGTAAAACTACTTTCTTGTTGACGCAATGCTTTGATATTTGAGCCAAATCAGGCTAATACGACACTGAAACCCTGGAGTAGGATACATTGTTCATATATCGTGTATGGGCGCCACAGTTCAAAGATATCTTCCACCGCTTAAAGGAAGGCGGTAACGGTCATGTTAGTTTTCAAGATGATGCAACTGGACATCTTAGCTTTCCATTATAAACTCTCATAACGTTACCGCATCACCTCATATCACCTTATCATCTGTAAAACTACAATTCCAGTTACCTTCCCCTAAATAATTCTAGGATATCCTATGATTTTGAGGAATATCATTTTTATCTACGAGGTGATATTTATATCTGCACGAGAGAGCAAAGCGAACGAGTGCATATATCAATATCACCGAGTAGATTAAAATGATATTCTGAAAAAATCATAGGATGTTCTTATTATCCTACACTTACAAGGAGTGTACTAAATGTATAATATCATTGCAAAATGAATTTCATGCCAAATAGAGTCAATTTGGCGGGAAATCAACAAGCGGAGTATATCGTCACAATATCCTCCGCATATTGGGGTTTCCGGAGTATATCGTCACGATATCCTCCGCCCGGAGTATATCATCACGATATCCTCCGGTTATTCATTTTGCCAAGAAATATCAAATTTATTTTTTTGATGTTATTATACATTTAGCACACTAAGTGTAGGATAATGCAAGATATCGTTGAACTGTGGTGCCTCCGCATGGTGTATGAACAAATGATCATGCTCAATAATTTCCATGTCATATAAGCCAAATCTAGTTCAAATATCAAAGCATGCTTCCAACTACAAAGTAGTTTAATTCGATGAAAACTAAAAAATATCGATATCGTTACTTTCCGTCCGCCATCTAAAATGCAAAGGTAACGGTTGTTATCTTAGCATGATACTGACAAGTGATTAGTATATCAAAAAATGTCATGAGTATAAAAATAAAAGATTCGAACACTTTTACTGTTGAATATCACTTTGGATTTCCAAAGTATTGATATTCTTGAAATTCTATAATATAGATTTTTATGAAAGATAGCTTTTACATTTCAAAATGTTCGACACCTTAATTCAAATACATTTTAAAATATCAGATTTTGGCCATAAGTCTATAAGTCTTTATACGAGGGGTGATCCAAAAGTCTTGGACGCCCCGCTCTAACTTTACTATTTTCTAATATAATTACATGAAACTTTCAGATAATCAAGATCAAGATCTTAACAACTTCGTGAATAAGTTTCACCAGAAAATAATAAATTTTAGCTATTTTTCTAAATATTTTTAATATCGGGTCCCTGCCACCCGGAACGGTATTTAGATATAGCATATATCACGCAACTACTGTTAATATGGCAAATACTTTAGGTGCAGGTGCACAACCTAATACCAGTCATGGTATGAGAGAATTTCCGATTTTTCAATCGTAGTGTCATCTGCCATCACCATCTTCACATATTTAGACCTACTTTTCAACATATTTTCCACGAATTTGAACACATTTTCGTACCGATTTACCTATGAATGGAAGGCAATTATGAAACTACCATTGCTTATGTGATACAAATGCACACAGAGCCATGTCTAGACTGTATCGTTCATATGGTAGTTGCTAAAGGTCAATAATAGTGAGAATATCTTGTAGTATTCTTTGTTCCACTTTGATTTCTTTCAGGTTCTGCATTTCAGCAGCCATATTGGAGCAAAAATGATACCAGAATGAGGGTTGCTTGTCTGATGTTATTTTCTTAGAATTTGACATATACGGCCATTGTCATATGTGACATTATACTTAAAACACAATTAATTGGCTGCCTGGTAACAAAAGAAGTAAACATATATGGTTAAACATTCGAAATTCAAAGAAAGATAGTAGTCAAGACTTGCGAAACAAGTCAAATGGCGGCAACATTTAAGGCTGAAAGTTGCCATGTGCGAATACCGTTCCGGGTGGCTGGGTCCCTATATTAAAAACTATCTAGAAAACTACATAAAATATATTATTTCACCATGAAATTAATAAACAAAGTAGTTAGGTTGTCGGTCTTTATTATTGGAAAGTTTAAAGTAATTTTATCAAAAACCAACAAAATTAGAGCAGGGCGTCCAAGACCTTTAGATCACCCCTCGTATAAAGGATTTTTGAATAAGTTGGACCTGGCTACATTAAAATTCATCACCATGTTGCAAATGCCATGTACACATTGCACTATTATATTTCGTTCATGGCTAACCTACTTTTGTGGGATTTCCTGACACAGACTTATTGACGTAGGGTTACAACCTGTTAACCGCTGGGAACCGAACGCGTCATCCTTCTGCCATCTATCCAAACCCTTGGATAATAAAACAACGAAATTAATTGGGCATACTTTTGACAGATAATTGTTATTTTGTTAATGTTACCTTTAAAGCTTAACACCCGATTTAGTGCGGTTTTAATAGTTCTATTTAGATTCTCAAGACAAGTAATATGAACCGTTTTCTGTTATAGTACTCTATAATGGGCTTTTACAGTAGAATGTGTGAAAAGCATATAGGATACATTTCTTAAGTTGTATATTGTACTATACAGTGCGTATAAAAAACGCAACAGATTGTTATCTCGGAAAAGCACAAAACCAGTGATAACAGCATTGATTTCATTCAATGCACCATTAAGCCACGTGTCTCCTCTTTACAATGATATATCATTCATTGATATTTGGTCATGGTTGGGCGAGTAATCATTCTATTTGCAAAGTGGGCTAGGATTAGCTTGGGACCAAGTTATAAACATTGCAAAAGTCAGTATACGGAGCCCGGTGCAATATTGGAAGAAAACATAAAACCAATGCTGACTGCATCCTTTTCATTCAATGTACCAAAAAGCCAAATAACTCCTCTTTGCAATGGAATATCATTCATTCACAGGGAGTCATGGCTCGCCGAATAATCATTAATTTTGCAAAGTGGGGCAAAATTCAGCTCGGACCCAAGTTTTAAAAATTGCAAAAGTCAGTACAAGGGGCATAGGGGCTATTGGAAGAAGGTGTGACAGGTTTGGCATAGACAGTTAAGTGTTCATACTCATAATCTTGCAAGAATACATCCTATACCCCTCCAAATCGCCACCACTTCCTTGCACATAAAGATGTACTCATCTGTCCACGTCATGCATGGTTCAGCCCTGAGTCATCTGTGGGTTAAAACAGAGAAAAGCAGCCCATGGGCAATTCTTTCTCGAGGTTTTGCAATATCTGGTGGAGGAATTGTGAGCACAGATGCTACTGAGATAGCTCCAAAAGAAAAGTCACAACAATTCAAGTCAGGGGAGCTTTCATTAGCACTTAGCCCTTGCACTGATTTTTGCAATATCTAAAACTTGGTCCAGAGCCGATTTTGACCCACTGTGCAAATGGAAGGATTTCTCACCCAACCATTACCACATGTGAATGAATGACATATCATTGCAAAGAGGAGAGACTTGGCTTTATGGTCCATTAAATGAAATTGATGTAGTCATCACTAGTTTTGTGATTTTACGAGGTAACTACTTGTTGCGTTTTTTTGATACGCCCTGTATTGTACTGAATTCTACTGTATTGTACTACATTATTTTACTGTATTGTACTATATTATCGTACTGTATTTTACTATATTATTGTACTGTATTTTACTATATTGATTGTACTGAATTCTACTGTATTGTACTATATTATTTTACTGTATTTTACCATATTATTGTACTGTATTGTACTATATTGTAGTGTATTGTACTATATTATGCAAAAGAAAACAAAATGTCGACTCACGTAGGGTCTTTTAAAGTTACGTTTATAAACATTTCGAAAATCCTCTAGACTTTCAAATTTAGAAGTCGTAAACATCGCAAGTTTAGCCGGAAAACCAATCTTCAACGCCATCTTCGTAAGATCAAACTAAAATTATATTATAATTGATTCACATTTGATGAATTATCTTAAAGATAAATAACCTTGTATTAAACGTTTAAGGTTTTCCAGGCCCAGTTTTTCTTACCGAAAAAGTATCATCATTCAAATTTAATTTATTGTGAATTAAAAAGTTGCTTTAGCCAATTTTTAAAAATGTTTATACTAAAATGATATTGATGATTATATAACATGTACAATTAATTAATTACAATAAGCTTATTCTGTTAAATCTTTAAGAAAACGGAATTCAAAATATTTCAATTGAATGAAATTAAATATCGTAGTGTGTAAAATTACCTGATAATCTCTTATTGTGAATCTTTCTTCACTTGGCAGCTCTGCAATCTAAATTTAAATATTACCTAGCTACTTATATATTTTAGAGCATATAAGATAATTTGATCTTGAAAACTACACCGAATCCTTAAAAAGTACATCCCTTTATGTTGCATCACAACCGGAAGTCCATTTTGGTAACGTTGAGCTAAAGTCTGTTTCCGGTTCTTATGAATTCATCAAAGTCAGAGGGGGAGAAACACCAGGGTTCAAAGATGACATACGCTTATAATGTAAATCTGTATTGAGATGACATCGTCGCTGATTGGTAAAAAGTCGACAAACAAATGACGTCATCAATGGCGGTTTCAAAATTTTCGAAATATGCTTCGAATAATATTATCTTCATTTCTGGCGTGTTAACCAATATCATAGCTTCTCATTTCACATCAAGATAAAGAAAGGTGTACGGAATATGCCTACATCATTTAAAACATCCCATCGAAGTGTATTATTTGATAACTAGCCGATGAAAATTCGAACGAACGAAAGTGGTAAGCAAGAGAGGTAATTATGTCTGTCATCTTTAAACTCTGGAGCTTTCCCTCCTCTTCATCAAAGTCATTAACATTACGTGAGTTTTCAATTGGAAGAACAAAATAAGAGCATAAACTTAGTGTGATACATCTGATGGGTACTTCGAAGACATTATTGTATCATATCATATCGTATCGTATTCCTATCGTATCGTATCTTATCGTATTCTATTGCAGTGATAATTCGAGGCTTTACAAATGAATTTTTGAATTGACACAAATGTGAATCGTACCAGAGGTGGAAAACCTTCTTGATGAACTTTCAGCCAATATTTCTCTTGTTTTGTTTCAAGTTCATGCCTCCGTTGTTCCTGGTTTTTATCGAATTGCGGCAATACGCTGTCAAACTCCTGTAGCTTGAGTTGCTGGTTTGCAGATACCCAGCGATTTATCGGGAATATACTCTTATCCTTATCTTTGCAACGTTCCACCACGACCGTCTCGACATACCTAATAAAAATGTTGACAAAACAAACAACCGTTTCGACAAACATAAAATTAAAATGAGAGAGTCAGACTGATGATAAACGTTAGACACAAAAGATTCAAGGGTGACAGGAAACTCTATAAGAAAGCTTACTAATCAACATGTTTCTACCATCAATTCATCTAATCTCAATTATATATTCTACAAAAATCTGATATTTTGTCATGTCATGTAGGTCCGTAGCCAGCTTTTGCAAGGGCGGGGGTCACTTTTCAAAACATTCAATCCTTCGATCCCTCAAACTCTCAATCCCCAAGAACCCCCTGGCTACGGGCCTGTCATGGTATTATTGATGTAAAAGTCTATTTCAAGGGTAGTTCTGAAACTAGAATATTTTATTTACCAGTCGTTCAAACTCTTAGTGACATCCCTCCGAAGTATTATTTGGTTGACGTGCTCCAGATCTTGGCAATCACTTTTGACGGAATAAGACCCTGTTTGCCCCGTCTTAAAGTCATTATGGAACCAAAGGTCAAGTTGAGTCTCCCCAGAATCCCCCCCGTTTATATCAAACAGCGTAATGTATACCTAAAAATATCAAACATTCATGTTTTCTGGAATTTAATAATTTTTATAGAGTTATATGATAATGTTCTTCAAATAAATATGGCAGGACAGAGAGAACAAGGGACATTGAACCCATATTCTTACTGATGAAAATAGATTCTAGTAATACTACGACCCCACATGAATGTTATTGTTCAGATTTGATCAACTTGAGTTCTTCTGAGAAAATAAGGATTTTGTATCTATTCCGTTCCCATGGTGACACACATGATGGTATCCGGATGCTGAGTAATTAGTCAATGGTGTATATGTTAGTCAATGCACCCTTGCCGAAATCCTCATTTTCTCAGAAGAACTCAAGTTGATTGAGTCTAAACAAGCAAATTTATGTAAAATAATATTTCTTAAGTCGATTTTCATGAGTAAGAATAGAGGTTCAATTCAACATTTCTCTCACTTGGCACTTTTTTTTAAATTGCACAATTTAGATTTTCTGTGATTATTCTATGAAAATACAAAAGTGTTTGAAATAATATTTATGAAAATCACCGTCCGGGTTTTGGGAAAAACATTATGAATCAGGAGGAAACTATTATTATTCCAATTAATATTTTGATTCGAACTTTTATACATTTTATAAGACACAGACCGTTATTCTAAGCATAAGAACAAAAAATCGATTATCATAATGTAAAAGTATACTATAATTTTACTGTAGATTTCGGTGTATAATTAGTGTAATTACGCAAGTGAGTTTTTCAGATTTTGTTGTTATTTTTCAAATATGAGCCAAGCAGCGAAACAAAGTCTATAATGATTCACAAATTCTTCTAAAATGTTTTCATTTCTCAAAACGATTCTCGTCATTATTAAGATAATAAAGAACGGCGTACATTGATTGGGAAATGGAATGTTTTCAAAGTTATTAAAGAGAGAATCATATCTGGCGAGCAGCATAACAAAACATTGTTTCAATCTTAGAATATTTCTGGCTTATGTCATTCCTTTCCATGTCTATTTTCTGAAAATTCCTATAATTTCAGGAAAACTAATGATTTTTACAATAATGTATTATTTTCTATAAGAATAGTTACCATTCTTATTACTTTGGAGAAATCACAAATTTTTGCACTTTGGATCCATTATAACTTCACCAATTTATCGTGAATCATTTGGGAGATATTGTATTTTAGATCATAAGGAATAGATTGGTAGGTGAATTGTTCATTTTACTTCGAAATTTGTCACCCCCATAGATCTGATGCTGCCTTTAAGTACAGATTACTTTTTATTTTCAATTCAAAGAAAGTAAAATAGGTATTTTGAGCACTATGTAATCTTTGTTGCAAGGCGTTGCAATTTAAAAAAGGTTTACTTTTAGAGTCTACGGGGCATAATGGATATTTTGAGTACCAACTGAGAGTATTAGTGTAGTCATTAAGACGTTTATATGTGCGCCATAATTAAATATTGTATTATTCTTCGAAAATATTTGCTATCAAACATCCACTTTTCAGTAAATAACTACAGGTGCATAAGGTCATTATGAACACTCCTCTATTATAAAATGAAATACCAAATAAGAGTCTTTTGATTTGGAATCTTTTCAAATCATCATCTTACCTACGTTTTGAAATGTGGGAATCGCATGTTTCAGAATTTGACATATGGAACTATTTTTATTTACTAGTATTTTTTTTATTCAAATCTGTGGCTCGGTCAACCTGACATGATGTGCCATGTTACATTTTACAAATGTTACATTAAAATGTATGATTTTGCTTTCAGATTTCAGGATATCTATTCAGTAAACGATTCACCGAAAACTATTTTAATATAGAAAATCAAATTGTCTAACTTTTTCAAATTCAATTTGCGAAAACAAAATGCAGGTATCGGAAATGATGTCAATTTATTTTTTCCAGCCCTAAAAACAGTTTTTTCTTTACACCGTACATATCATTCAAATAAGAATTCAAACATAAGGAGGCTTTAACACTCAGGTTGCCAAAATTTTTGAGGGGATGTAAATTGTATGTACAGGGTGGTCAAATAAAACGGCAACCCTATTTGGTACATGTGTACATCATTCAATCTCCCACCAGTCTACAATATTTCATGACCAGGTTGATAGTTTACAGCACTTTAAACAACATGCCCCAAAGGTCAACATTGTGCTTTTGGCAAACCTGCACCCGTCGTCAAAAATGTTCTCACCTGACTTCTACATGTGGGGCAGGGGCGGATCTGGGAACCAACAAGGGGGGGGGGGGGGCAAATTTCAGATCAGAGAAAAAAATGTTGGGCCCCTAAAACCCAAAAGTGGGCCCAAATTTTGAAATTTTGAGGCCCATTTTCTTCAAAATTTGGCCTGAAATTAAAAAATAAGGCCTTCAAAGGCCCAGTTATGACCAAAAAGGCCCACTTTTTAGGGCCTTAAGCCTTTTTTGGCCTTTTCTGGGCCCACCCATGGGGGGGGGGCCCGGGCCCCCAGGCCCCCCATAATCCGCCAGTGTGGGGTATGCCAAAGGTAAATGTACAGAAAGGACCTCAGGACAATTACAGACCTTAAAAAGGAGATCATAATAGTCATTCAGGCCATACCTACTGAGGATTGATTGCAGTTGGGTCATAGCCTACTTGTGCAGGTTTACCTAAGCGCGATGATGGCCGAACCGGGGGCATGTTGATTAAAGTGCTGTAACATTGTGATCTGATGGTCATGAAATATGGTAGGCTGATAGAAAAATTGATGATGTACAAGTGCGTAAAATATCAGGGAGTAATTCTTTAAAATGACAAAATATGAGTAAAATGCAGGGTTGCCATTAATTGACCACCCCAGGGGCGTCAGAAAGATTTGCCAAGGTCGTGCGTGAAGGGGGTCATGCCCCTAGAATTCAAAATGAAAAAATTGTGTTTTCAGGAAACTTAACTTGACTTTGACTAAAAAATGTGACTAAAATATACATTATGCACTTATTCTTCAAAGTATTTACATACTATATGGGTTCCTGAGAAACTATACATGGTATAGAATTAAATACTTCTATGCTTGACATAGTATCATTTCAATTCTAGGCTCGGTTTCAAATCTAAAAAAATCTGGGAAAGGGGGGGGGGGGCGGTCGCCCCCAACGCCCTCCCCCTTCCGACGCAATATGCTTTTTCATTCGAAATCCTCGGTTTAAAACAAATACTCCATCTCTCAAAGTTATTTTTATTTATATTATTCTACCTGGATTTTGATTTGAGGAATCTCTCAAAACAACATTAATGTACTCAATTAAAATTCTAAATCTTACATTTCCATTTGTTCCCGCTCTTTTCTTGGTTCCAGTCTTCACGTGAACTGTATACTCAGCCATCTTTCTTGTTTTGAAAATAGTTTTGATTTTATTTCTACTTATATCAAGCCAAACAGTTTCTAATATTAAGCAGTTGTACTTTTCCGATACTTTTCACGTAGAGAGATTTGCAATATGTTTTATAGTACTTTGTTAAACAAGAACTGATCACGTGATTTCCTCTCATTTAAATCAAGTTTGAATTTTTGGCCAAATTCATATAACTTGCTAGGTTGTCGTATTAGCATCTATCCATCTTCCGATGATTTTTACCCGAATTGAAAATTGAGTAAATCAAGGCCATTACCTCATCTTGAACTAAAAGGTCCATCTTGGACGAAGGTGACAGTTTCACCTTTCCAATAGTATTAAAATGAATTCGATCTGACACGCAAAAATGGCTGTTAATGGTGAATATCTATTTACAGGGAGGGGTTAGTCTCGAAGGCTGACCCATACGTGAATGCAATAATCGTGCAACAACACAAATCACTAAATAACCCCTAAAACTCGTACATTACTACATATGATAAAATGATCCTTGATAAAGATGTTTTGAATAGATAATAATAACAAGGGCTGTTATCGAAAGATTTTTCCAGCTTGGGAGAACAGTCATGCAATTTTTTAAAAACACTTAGAAAACTTGACAAATAATATTTGATTTTTATGTTTCGTTATACCAACGAAAAAATTAACTATCATTAACGCTTATATTTGGGAGATACAGGGAGATATGCCGATTACTCAGTTAGTACAAAATTAAAGTCTATGTCAGTGCATAAGAAATGAGCATTTTTGCTTTAATTTGCAATTAAAATTTGTTATCCAGAAATAGCAATTTAACATGGTGTAAACAAAAATCAAAAATATGCATATCAGGGAGAAAGTATGTTTATTACAGTTGCACTTCATATGCATAAAGGTACGGAGGGTATGTAGTACAAGGGACCATCTCAAATGTATACTACTAAAGCTTTTTATAAGTACTCAACTAGAAAGTCTTAATCACTATCACAATCACTACTTGAATATGTTTCGAGATTGATGATTACAGGGTCCATTTCCTCAATAAGGACTTTTTCTATTACCCATCTCTTAGTAAATTGAATACAACTTGATTTGAATTTATCCCTGAGCATATGTGCAATAACATTAGTTGATATTAGTACAAGATCCTCGACGTCCAAAAGTATAATTTTGTTCGAAACGATGAAGAAATCGTGAATCTTTGTATTGCAATAAATAGTTTCCGCCCGAGCAAGTTGAAGGGTGGGTATTACGAGAGACAATTAGGGTAGACCCCCTCCCCCAAAATGAAATATTGTTTGTGAGTTCCTCATAACCATACCCAAATTGGTCAGTTGATATAAATTTACTATTTATTAGGCATTTCGCAGGATATTTTAGATTTATTTGTGATTTTAAGCATTTTACAGCCCCAATTCAATTTTGAGTATATCTATTTTCAAGAATATTCCCTCATAACTTTTATTTTAGAACATTAATGCCAATCAAAAAAAATCCACAACTTTGCTCAAGTACCATTTGATTGATAGAGCCAGAAAGTATGACAGTGATGTTTCCATTTAATGTTGAGAGAAAAAATCCCAACAAACCTACATAATTTACATAAATACATAATTTATTCAAATTTTTTTTATCCTGCCTAAGGTGGTCAATTAATATTAAGTTCACCATTTATTAGGCATTTTGCAGGATATTTTGGATTTATTTGTGATTTTAAGCATTTTGCTACCCTCAATTCAATGTTGAGTATATCTATTCTCAAGAATATTCCCTCATAACTTTTTTGCAGTCTATGGACACCTATGGAAAAAATTGCACAACATTGCTCAAAAATCATTTGATGAATCCAGAAAGTATGACAGTGATGTGTCACATTAATCAATTAATAAATATGTTTTTTGGTCTCTTGGACATCTAAAGTACATGGCAAAACAATAATTACAATCTAATTTTATCAATCACTAAGTACTAAGTAGCATCAAATGATTTCACGTCAGTTTTGTTTAACGACTCTTTGGTACTTTCTTTGTGCATACTCTTTTTTATCATATCCAAGATGATCAATTGATATAAAGTCCCCTATTTATTAAACTTTTTTTTTGTTTTCAGCCTTTTACTTCCCCCTGCCTTCAATTCAATGTTGACAATTCCATGAGTTCTCTCTCATAACTTTTTGTTGTAGTAGTCTATAGTGCATCGAACCCAATACAAAATGCAACAACAGTGCTTGGATATCATTTGATAGATCCATAAAAGTGATTTAGTAGATATGGAGAGAAAATTTCATAACAACCCCGTCCCTGCTTCAACAGGGGGTGGGGGTCAATTTTTATCATGCCTTAGATGGTCTGTTCATGTAAACTTAACTTTTTTTATGAGGAATTTATTTGTGATATTAATCCTTTTACTCCAAATTCATTGGCAAAATCTTTTTTTCTGCATCATTAATATTTTTTATAATATGAAATCAATATGGACATAAAGATTCATATTGGACCTTTTAAGCAGAATTTTCTTGATTAAACATCAAAACATCTTAGAATAGCGATATAATATCCTCAAAATTAATGTTAACAAAACTTAAAAAGGTGGACATTATATCAATTGTGCAATAAACAACTAATTCCTATGATCATTACCTATAATAAACACATATAACTAATTGTTATGATCATTACCTAATACTATCAGTTATTTCATGAAAATCTGGGAAGGAGTTTGCTAAAAATATTTTCTTAGAGTTAAACCCCCCTCCGGACCCTCTCCAGAGGTGGGAGTAAGCATAAATTTTTGGGCAAAAAGTGAGCGAGAAACTTGTTCAGATTTCTCCAGGAATTCAAACAAAAAAGAACATGAAGATCCTGGACTACCACCCCTTCTTGCTTCTTGGCTTGGTTGGCTAAGAATTTTTTCTCTGTATTAAATGATTCCTATATTTTGAAATTGATTGAGCTTATAGGAAAAAATCTTAGAATTATGACAAAATATCATCAAAATCCATGTTACAAACAAGAATCACTGGACATTAAGTGATCAAAATATTGATTTTGCAAGGTAATATAAATTACAAAAATACTGAAAACAAAATTTTCGTCCTATCTTCTAATTGAATGAACATATTTCATGGTGGTATCATGAAAACTTGGGGGTGGGGGTAAAACATAATTCTATGGGACAAAAAGTGACCCATGGATTTGCTCGGTCAGATGTTTTCATTTGAAACAACCAATATATTCATGAAATCACGAGATTTAACAAAAAATAAGAAAGTGCTTGGAATACCTGGCAGGGACAATTTACTTAACCCCCCCCCCGCTTTTGCTTCTTAGCGGTTAAATTTTTTCTCCATTATTAATAGTACAATAACGTCATTTCGAAGGGCAAGGTCCAATATTTCACTATGTTACCCGCAGAAATGACGTTATTAGTATCATTACCACTGTTAATGACCAGGACTGAAACAGCAAGACAATCTAACGCACTGAACGATATCTAATTTCCCGGGGAAAATTGCTGGTCGTTAAATGCTTTCTCGACCGGCAATATGGACCACCACTATGACGTCACATATTGCTCAGGTCGATATTAAACAAATACTGGATGATCAGGAGCTGGATATGGCAGAATACCTATTCGAGAAAAAATATTGGGCGAGGCGGCAGCCGAGCCCAATATTTTTTCGAGGACGAAAGAAATATTCAATCACAAATTCATGCAGATGCATTCTGTTTGCAACACATTGCCGTTTTATGGATAACATTTTTGTTTTTGCAAATTAAAGTAAACATGTTTATTTCTAATGCACTGACATAGACTTTAGTACTAAATTAGCACTCGTAGCATTATACTTATGAGCGCGTCTTGCCAGATTGCTGATTTAGTACTAATTTTGTACTAATTGAGTAATCGTCATATTTCCCTAGGCCCTGTGTTATTTTAAGATAAGTCAGATTTTGAAACATGCAATTCCCACACTTTAATTCTTAGATACGATTTTTGAAAAGATTCCAAAACAAACGATTTTTACTTGTATTGACACAAGTATTGATTAAAATTTCAATAAATATATAAGAATAGAGGAGTGTACTAATGACCCAATGAACTTAAGTATTCAACAGCAAATCTTTTTGAAGAATGTAATATTCATTTCACCGTGGCGCACAATAAAACTTAGTCTCAATGACTATGAAAACAACAGAAGTGACATTTGATAAGTATTGTATTAAAATGAAACATGGGTTGTCACATCAAAAAGACTAAATTGCAATAACAGGATATCCATTGTGTTCTATCGGCTCTAGAATTAAAAATTATTTTTAAAGAAGGGGGGGGAATTAGTGCAACAGATTTTTGACACTTGATGTCGTCAAGTACAATGTAACTGCATGTAAAATTGTAGAAAAAATGATGGACGACGGTGAAACGAAAGTATTTTTGAAAGAGGGATTGTTGATGGGTGGATTAAACACAGTTATAATTGATCTTGAAACCATCCCTTGGACTGTTCTTAAACATAATTACAGATACAGGGTGACCGGAAAAAGGAGACCATTATAGTAAACAATACATATGTATCTTCCAAACTAGACAAGTGATAACAATAGAATTTTGCACTCAGCAGAACAGTTCTATATGAATTTGACCCTGAAAGTTTTATAACAATCAATCAACTGGTTCAGGAGCTGTGATCATTTTCATTACATGCTCCAATTTGCCACAATTGAGACCATAAAACTGCTGACCTAAAGAAGACAATCTCGCTAAATGTAATGCCATAACAAAAGCTGAATATGTAAGGATATTTTGCCATATAGATCCACCTCTAACTTGGTCTCTATTGCAGCTACTTGGAGCATATCATGTAAAGCTCCTGCACGAATTGACTGGTTTTATTGATGTCACTTGTCTAGTTTAGAAGATATTTTGTGTAATTGTAATGTAATTTATAGTTACAATTAACCTTTTACTCATATTCTTTTTGTTTAGAAACATGAGTTGTACACCTGGACACAGTAGGTCTTAGTTTTAAAGATCTGATTGGCGCATGCGCAGAACTATCTCATGTGACCTTATTGATGTATTGTTAGTCGGTATAATAGCAATCAAACTTTTCCTT